TCCCGGGCTTTTGAGAAAATAATTTGCTGTAGTGTGGAGAGTGCGAAATGCAATTAGCACGGTTTGCCGTGAATCTTTTATGTTTATTATTATAATGGTTGTGGATAGACGTTTAAGTTCTCGCGAATGCTTGTCAGGTATTATCGTATCAGATGCTACACATACACATCATTCATATCTTTCTTCTTGGATATCTCTCGGTCGGGCGAAACATCAAGATATTAAAACGCATACTCACAGGCAGAGAAATAAAACCTTCACATCACCTTATCTAACAACTATGCTATGTGACGAAAAGGTTGTTAGAGTTCATCTAGTCAATAACCTGTGTTCAATTCAAGAGTACAGATTCAAATCTTCTGAAAAAGCATTGCGTTTACCTATCCATTTAACTTATGCAGTCATCAGTTTCCTTCGATTTTCTTCATTTTTTGTTAAATAAACTTGTTGAAATAACTCTTTCTGAGAATTCTGTTCTACCGACAATGTAACATTGAATACAGTCATTGATAATAATAGTCGGCTCAATACCCTACAAACTTTGAGAGATGCATTGCCGTAACGGATTCTTTTCTTATCAGCATTCAGCAAATCGATCCTGTTGTGGGTGGCAGTAGCTTGTCTTTACATAGTGTGTTACTTCGAACATTACTACTGACTTCGATGAGCTCCATCACTTTTAGACAGTAATCATGATCACTCCGTTAATTGCGCACGCATAATGAAATTTTACCTTTCAAGGTTCATTGGCCTGTTTGGGTTCGTTTTAATGACAGCTTGGGTTATCTTCCTCCCGCCACTTTATTCATATTCTCTTCAGAATTTTTAACGCTTTTAGTTCTTGGAGTGTTCTTAATATTTCTAGCACTTTATGTAGGGTGGTCTATCATATTTGTCTCATTTACGTAAAGATGAAATGCATTGTGATATAAAATATTATTTTGTCAGCAGGATTATGTTTGATTCATTTATTAAGTCTTTGTTACTGAAGAATTTTGATGTTGTGGACTACGTTGTCGGTGAACACGATATGAGACTTCCCATCTATTAAACTAGATAGCTGTTTGGACAACACGACTACTGCATCTATTAATTAATACTTTTGGGCCGCCGATTTGAAGTTCCGAATATAATGAGTTTACTTGTTCTCATCTAGTTCAACTTTCTGCAAACTGCACTATGTCGAGTATTCCTAGTCAGTACAATAATTCGGATGCTTCTAATTATCATACAAACCCGACTTACTATAATACCTTAGTTTAAAATTCATCTCCGACAACCCCCTCAGCTAATCAACAATGATGAGTCAAAATATGACAGATGAAGCTACTTGCTATTCATTTTTTATATTCTGTCATCTTTGAAACTTGCAGATCATGTTTGCCAGTGGGACATAGGTTCAGGTCAGGATAAGTGTATCTATGCTAACCGAATCATAGACCTAATCTAATCTTGTGGACTTGCCCTGATCTTACTGCCTAATTTGTAATATTATACGCCAAAGTCACATCATTGTCCATACTGATCAGTCTTATTGTGATAATCAGCGATTGTTTGGAAGATAGTTTAAACTATGACGGGGTTGCTGAAATGTCATGATCCAAGGTTTTCATACTTAATGACCCCTATCAGTCACTCTATGATATATTTTTGTAAACAGATTCTGTCAGTTGAATCAAGGTTCTCAGACATTGTTCTATTCCTGGGTTAGAATTCTCGCAAAGTTGCGATTGCGGCCGTAATGAAAAATCGGGCAATCATCTGATCAAAGGATTTTCCAGAGTAACCATGGCGACAGATTGGCGAGGGTCGAAAAAAGAATGAACAACAATTTTTAAATCCAAGCAATTTGGATTGCTGAATCATTCCTAAGATATTTTCTGACAAAATAAGACTGATACATGAATGGTCTTTGCATGATTGAATTTATCGATAAGTTTGTCTCCAATCCAAAGAGCTTATTCCGTTACTCAACCTCTCTTCGAAAAGCTAAAACCGGAGATTCCCAACTCCTAGGTCCCAATGACCCGATCAACAACGACGGTGACGCTGCTAATCTCCTGGCTGAGCATTACTTTCGGACATTTCAGCTGACTCACATTAACTATATTCATTAAAGCTTCATCTGAAACTTCAAAGGACTTTCAGAAGTGAGCTTAATGTACCGGGGACTGCAACATCCAAAAAGACACCTCACCTGGTCCGGATATGGTTCGTTCGGCTAAACTGAGGAAAACAGCTTCAGTGTTGTCAATACCGCTCAGCATGAGGTTCTCACACTCGCTAAGCCGAGGTACATCACCGGAAATTTGGAAGCAGGTTCACAGCACACCAATTTTCGAGAGAGGTCGACGCAGCGAAACTTCATGCTACCGACCGGTGGCCCATCTCTCTATACCCTTAAAAATTATGATGTTCCTGATGGGCGATGGTCTACACGACCATTTGTTATCCATAAACTTATTTTCGCCTCAACAACACAGTTTCAGAAAAGGTCACTCTTGCATAATCAACCTGCCAACTGCGGTGGACAGATGGACAATCACCCTTGATCACGAGGGCAAGGTTGACATTATTTACCTTGACTTCTCAAAAACTTTTGATAGGGTCAACCAAAAATGTCTTATCAATAAGCTCAAAAGATTGGGTATCAAATCACCTTTAATTGATTGGCTCTCTTCACATACAAAAAAATCAACACTTCAAGATCAGGGTTAACTTCAACTTCTTTCAGGTTATGGAATACCCCAGTGGAATCCCTCAGGGTTCAGTACTAGGACGTCTTCTTTTCTTGATTTATATAAACGATTTTCCACAACAGGTACCGTCAGACTTATTGCTTTTTACTGACGATATGAAACTTTGGGGAGAGATGCACAGAGAACAGTATAAAATGAAAAAGATATAGAAGTGACGGTACCCTACTAGTTGAAGTCTTGAGCTAACTGCGACAAACGCGAGCAAACCTTGCAGTGATAACATCTAAGCTCATTTTTGGCTGGTTCGACGGAAGAACTTTGCAAGTAATCTTCAACAGTTTAATACGTTCTCATTTAGAGTGCGGAGACATAGTATTTCCTCCTTCACATCAAAAGTAAAAAGGGCACTCTGGAACGTATCCAACGGCGAGCCACGAAATTAGTCTGGAGACTCAAATTCAAGCATTATGAAGAGTGCTTTCAGTCACTAAACCTTTACCCATTAAAGGTGACCTTCTAATGGCTTACAGCATCCTAAAAACTCCTGAGTATCCCCTTAAAGACCTACATGAGCTTAGTCCCAACACAAACTTTAGGGGTATCAGCGAGCAACTAGCGACATAACTCAGCAGAACCGACTTTAGACACAACTTATACTCTTTAAGAGTAGTCAAATGCTGGAATCCGCTGCGAGCTGAGCTAGTCCAAGCGACGTCTCAAAAGTCCTTCGAGAGAAAACTTTAAGTATTTTTATGGACTAAGGATAGCATCTTACTATGATTTACCAACTTTTTTCTTTTTCCTCTTTCAGGGTAAATATGTAGTGGCATTGAACAATAACCGCACAATCCACAAAGCTGAACACGAGACTACTCAGAAAATAGATATTCAATATTTAAAGCGGATAAATACCTAACAATGGAGAAGGCGCGAACAATGAATGGAATGGACTGGACTTGATCGAGTGGCATGGCTCGGCCATGCAGGCATGGTCTCTGCTGAATGTTACCTTATATCTTCTATTCATATTAAATATATTGTTCCTTCTCTAGCCTAACCTTGTTCTACATCATGTATTGGTAATTGATACGATACAGTGAGTTGGTGTAGTCGATGGTGTGACTTCCACGTAAGATCTTATAGATTAGGCAGTTATATCATGACAAATCTGCAAATTTAGGATTAGGTCTATTATTAGAGCAGTACTAATATCATAGTAGACCATAATTCTACAAATATACTTAAGTTCCTGCCTGAAGGTATTGATGATTTACTGCTACCTGACACGGAAGCCCGTTAAGCAAAAGCTTCTTCTTTTCCGTCCAAAACCATTTGAAACATTTAATAATTTAAAGTGAAACTTTGGAGAGAGATACGCAACCAAGACGATACACAGGCACTTCAGGAGGATCTGACGCGACTTCAAAGTTGGGCAGGCGATAACGGACTTACCTTTAACACTTCAAAGTGTAAAGTAGTCCACCTGCGACATGTCGCAAACTACAGTTACAACTTAGGAAACTCCTCTCTAGTAGTATCCCAAGTCGAAAAAGATTTAGGAGTCCTGGTGCCCCATGACTTAAAGTCTTACGCTAACTGTGACAAAAATGCCTTCCGAGCAAACCTTGCACTGGTAACGCTGAGGCGCATTTTTGGCCAGTTTGACGGAAGAACTTTCCATATAATCTTCAATAGTTTCATCCGTCCCCATTTAGAGTACGGAAACATAGTATTTCCTACCTCACTCCAAAAGGACAAGGTCACTTTGGAGCGTATCCAACGGCGAGCCACGAAATCAGTTAGAGGACTCAAATCTAAGCCTTACGAAGAACGCCTCCGTTCATTAGACCTCTACCCACTAGAATATAGGCGTCTTAGAGGTGATTTATTAATGGCTTATAGTATTCTTAACACTTCTGGACATCCTCTTAAACACCTACTTAAGCTTAGTTCGAATAATAACCTAAGGGGTAACACCCAGAAACTGGAAACACAACATAGCAAGACGGAATGTAGACACAACTTCTACTCCTTAAGAGTTGTCAAAAGCTGGAATTCGCTGCCGGCCGAGCTAGTCCAAGCGACTTCCCAGGAGTCCTTCAAGAGGCAACTTGACCTATTCTTAAGGACCAAGGACAGCATCACACTGTGATTTACCAATTTCTTTTCCTCCTTTATTGTCAACATACCTAGGTTCCTGCCTGGAGGATTTCGTGATCCCCTGCTACTAGACACGGAAGCCTGTTAAGCGAAAGCTTCTTCTATTCCGTCCACAACCATTTGAACCATTTGAACCATTTGAAAGCGCGACTGTCGCAAAATGCTGCGCTACGCGATCTGTAATGTAAATCTTGCTTTAAATATCTTCATGGTTAATTGGAAATAGTGTTCAGCATGCCTTATAAAGGAACTAGATTTTATTCTTTTCTTTGCATTGTACACGTCGGAATCATAGTTAATCGGATATTAGCACTAAGTTGATGTAGTCAGATATCCGATGTTTTTTAGTAACAGAAAGGATATGGCCTATCTTAGCTTTTCCTAATAAGCTGATGAAAGTGTGTAGTTTTATGTCAAATCGTTTAGTTGAAAGGGCGGACGTCACTTCGGGCAAAACGTTTCAAGAAGGGGTGACGGTGTGAAAACCTGTATGTCATGGGTCGTTTGCTTATCCCTTACTTGTGGGACCTATTAATGATTTAGCTACCAAACAGACTACAAATCCTGTGTATATTGATCTTCATATTGATATGTTAAGATCACAATATTGGTGGCCAAACATTGATTGGTGAAAAGAAGCCTAGACTTGTAATCCTCTGGTCTGAATTGGATTGTCTAAATCTTTAGTCAATGTCTGGTTCTGTGGTGTTGTTGTATCTTTAATATGAAGGGCTAGATTGACCTGTAGGTTCTTATTTTTTTAAACTATAACCGACAGAATTTCATTGGTCATCTACTTGTAGGAATTGGTCAGGATGTTCTTCCTTCGTAGGACATTATTGTGTTGTACTGACCATCAGTTAAGTCATTCAACTCATGCCTATGGAAAGTTTTTAGCTTAGACTCACCATACCTATTGGTTGACAACATACGTCTTTGACTTGGGAAACTGAAAAGGTATGGTTTAGAAACGGCTGATAAATATGCAACGAACAAGAAGTAGAAAAATTTTGAAATGATGACACTTTGTATCTAAAAAGAGATCCTTTGAGAACAGACATACATCTAGTTGTCTAAATAAGTATTATAGACTCTTTAGCAATCTATGGTCAACTAAGTACCGAATTTTGAACATACTTTCTTCTTAAAGTTTCTCAAAAGTTAGAAAGTCGAATTATATGGAGCCTAATGCTTCAATGAAAGTACATCTGGTTCTGTATTTTTTTCTGTTCTATGTAAAGACTCCCAAAGTCTTTAAAATTAAATGTAGTTTTTGTAAAATATTTATGGGTTATAAAGCGAAGTGTTCAATGCTTTTCTTATCAAAACTATAATCTGATTTGTACACTGACTGACAGGCACGTAAAAAGTTTAACAGATTTGTTTTCAAACTTATTCACATGTATCTTTCAAACCTTATAAAAGATATACAGGCGTTCCAGGCCTTTTCATGATCTTTTTCAGTAGTTGGTAGCATAGTGGTGCATCGTTTCCTGTCATTTTGGAGGTGAAAACAGTTGTAGATTTGTTGAAATGTTTCGTCGAGTTATTTTAACGTAAACAGATTACAACTCAATGACTTGTTATATATTTGCGTACTTGGCTCCAAGACGTATTTTGTGTAGTGGTTACTCACTACACAGCTGTAAGTATCGGAGTAGGCGAAACAGGTTTCGAAGTTGAAACTTTGGTGTAATAATCAGCAACACCGCCAAGAGGTATAGATCAAAGGAAATAAAACTTGGGGTTGCAATTTTTTGAATAAATTATGTCTTAGCTGTTTTCTATGTCAATCAGTTAGTTGTTGGTTATTTCTGTGAACTGCGCTGTTCAACCACATATTGGCAATAAATTTTCTTGCTCATGTATACTGTCATTATAATAGTTTAATATTTAGAGGTAACTCATTCACTAGGTCCATGTTTATGATCCACATTCTTAGTGTGGACGTTAACGATATCATGTAGTTGGTCTAACTGAAGTAGGCGTGGCGGGGTTCGAACCCAAAACCTTGCGTTTAAAAGACGGACCCCTTAACTACTAAGCCTCCATTCCATCAGTCTGATCTTCACTCCTATAGATACACAATTGATGCTCTGGATAAGTTTGTTATTTGAAGTTGTTATATTAAGCAATCGCTGTAATGCAATAAATGTTAGGAAAACAAATAGGTGGAAAAATCATCAAGATTAAAACCCATTCATAGTAGACCGGAAACTAAAAGATAAATGCCACGGTTTGATATCACATTGTGTCATATTTTATCATCCATTGTTGATACGATGCCCATAGATTAGACCCAATAATCAGATCGTAACTGATTGGAAGATGAATGATCTACAACTCAATTTCCTCCAATCGCTTATGGCGTTTTGTCTTATTTATTTTGTGTTCAGATTTTCTATATATAAGCAAACCACATGAAAAGCTATTTTTGTGGCTAGTAGTATTGTTTTTGATTTTTAGTCATGTGGAGGTCTACGTTAGTAATACGGTCTTGGCAGTAGATATCACTTGATCATATTATGTCATAGCGTTCATCTATCGATTAACATTTTACCCATCGACTTTAACGATTAAAATATCACGTCTGTCAGAAAACCCACCCCACAATAAGTGTATATTGTCTGTGTAAACAAAGAACAGGACCATGAGTTCGATCACTATATGTATATATAACTTTACCGAAATATCTACGTAAGTATCATACTCTGATAAGCTAATTTTCAATTTCTAGTACACTACTCAAGATGAAAAGATAAGTAAATGTAATATTATTTCATTTTTCATGTGAGGGTGTAAAATATCACTTCATCGTTCAGATGTCCACAAAAACGCCACCAATGATAATATTACAAATTCTTCACAATAGATCCATAATTTTTAAACCGGCATAGTCGAATACATCTGATTACAAACCAGTAGATAAAATGGGCTCTTCAATGTAAAACAAATTATTTACGTTCACATTTGCAACTCAATGTTGTATTATTTTGCTGATTATATACTAATGTTAACCATCGAACATTGAACCTATTTACTTGTTTTAGGCCATTTGAAAATCAGCATAGGGGTTAAGGAGATTATTAAGTTTTTGATTGAGATCATGAAGTGATTGATGTTAGGCCACCGTTAAAAGCCTGTATTTATTTATTTATTTATTTTAACACATAGATATTGGTACGAGGAGGCACCAAATACATATGCGCCACACATCTCATTTGATATGTGTGAGGGCTGTGATACTGCCTGGGTGCCCAAACCGAAGCAGGTAATTTCTTAGGGGGCCTTCGACATAAAGGTCTGGTCCACAAGGCAGTGGAGCAACGTAAGGAGATGCAGTCCCATAGTATTCGCTGACCAATGATTGATTTATATACCATTTGTTCCTTCAGGTACCTGGAGCCCATGTGCACCATTGGTTTGGAATGAGGGTTTTCCAACTCTCCTAGGTGGAATTTCCATGTCCACCAACCTGTTAAAGCTTCATACATTTGCCTTTCTTCCTCTCAATTTTGTAAAGAACAGCGCCGCAATGAGAAGGCAGTGAATAGGACTTCCCTGACAAAGGCTATATACGTGTGGCCATGTGAGATCATTTCGAGAGCGAGAGCGGACTCTCTCTCGGCCGTACTAGGGCCGTCCTATTGTGGCAACGAAACGGCCGTCCGGTGCTTCAGGCTTCCAACGACGGTCTAACATCAATCAGTTCATGATCTCAATCATGATTAGTACAGAAATTAGTCAAGTGTTTGTTTTTATGCTTTATCTATATTATATTGAAAATTTTATTTCTAATAAGATGAAATCAAGTTTCAATACTTATTTATTTAGAGAAAGTATTTACAAATACCGATATTATCAAATTCTTTATCAACAAATCAGTTCAATGAATCAAAAGTTTATAATTTCACTTCAAGATTACAATCACTGGCAGATAAAAGGTAATGAAATCATTTTTTTTCACTTAACATCTCATTGATCTTATCACTTTGATTTTATATTATAGTAAAAATATTTTAATGAATCGTGATCCTTATTCTCCACCAGAAGATGTTGAATTACGTATTGAAGCTTTAAGTAAAAAGTTATTCAATTTGAGTTCATCAAACAATAATCAATGGAAAGCTTATCATTTTCAGAATAATGATGAAAAATATAAAGTAAATTTAATTTAGTCAATTGTTAATATATATCTCAAATCTTCTATTATTTAAACACATAAACATTGGTACAACGAGGCACCAAATATATATGCACCACATAAATCATTCGATTTGTGTGAGGGGTGGGGTACTGCCTGGGCACCCGAACTGAAACAGGTGGTTTTCTTAGGGGCCACACGCGGAGTGTTCGACCTGAAGGTCTGATCCACAAGGCAGTGGCGCATCGTGAGGAGATGCAGTCCCATGGTAACCGGTGACCAACGATTGGTTCACACGCCATTTGTTCCTTCAGGATCCTGGAGCCCATGTGCACCATTGGTTTGGAATCCGGTTAATGCGCCGGACATTCGCTTTTCGTCCTCTCATTTTCGTAAACAACACCCCCGCCACGAGATGGCATTGAGTAGGACTTCCCTGGCAGAGGCTGTATACGCGTGGCCGTACGAGAGCATTTCAAGAGAGAGGGAGGGCGAATACGAAGTGTTGATTACGTTTATTATTGCACCAAGCATAGATAACCCAAATGACAGGTACGCTAAACAAGCATAAAAGAGTAATCCCGAAAAGCAAACGGGCAAACGAGTGAATAGGATTAAAATTAACATATATATATGCATAGGGAAATGAATGAACCATCGAATCTATTAAGCGGCTGATGGTAAGGCTATCATAATGAATATATATCTGTAGATAGTAAGGAATGTTCAAGCATATATATTCATACAAGTGCAACAATAATAAAAGTACAATAGTATAGATAAGTTGTTATTGTACGAATGTCCCTATCCGTTAAATAATTTATCAAAAGGGCTTAACCAAATTAAATGTGAACAAACTCCATTGCATATGAGCTGCCATATATGCATAAAATAAGAATAAATATTTTGAACTATTATTCAAACTGAAGCTTTAAGGATAAGTAAGGAAGAAAGTGGTATCTATACCATTCTGATCCATTTTTTAACCATACTATCTAAATAACCTTGACGATGGATCACAGTTACCACGTTGATCTCCGAATGAATGAGTCAATGCATTCCAATCGATTAAAAGAAATTAGTCAGTCAGTAACAACGTAGAACTTCGTACGTACGTACATCAGTTCCAGTTGCCACACCACCTTAGCACAGAGATGCAGTTGTCGATTCAAATCCCGTAAACGAAATTAGGGTGAGACTAATTTATGGATGAGCCAATCAGAAGCGTTTTAGAGATTTCAAGGTTACGGCGCCACCTTCAGCGCTTAGTGCTGACGTACGATCGGTTCACAGGGAATTTTGTACAAAACGTGATAATTGAGAGGCTATAACAAATAAAACGGCGAGACTATAATTTGTGGACGAAACAATCTGGTGTAAGATAACAGATCTCGGAATTTAGTGCGAAAGCGTTTCATCTGTTTGGCTAAATAGATTTCTGGCATTATAGCTGATGTCAGTTCGTGATGAAAACCCTATATATAATTCCTAACTAAGGTAAATTATGACAATTATTACGAACTGGATAATTAAAGCACCAGTAACACTGGCTGCAACCAGGTACTGCAATATATGCGGGTGTTTGGAGAACGTACAAACTCCTACATAGGCTTGGTTACGTGCATCGTGTCGTTATCCACAAGTAGCATTTTGTGCACTCAACAACCGGAATGCACACAAACAATATTGAAACCATGTGGTCGAAGCTGAAAGAGTTTTTGAGACTTTATCATGACTCCAGAGGCCGTTTATTATGAAGCCATATTGGTGATTTCCTCTACCGTATGCATTACGATTTTAGAATTTCTGAACCTCTTTTTAACCTTAAGGAGTTTTTGAACCATGTAAAAGAATTGTATCTACGTTAATTCTTTGGTTTTGTATAACATATTTTTACTCGATACTGACTGTTTGCTGATTGGCTAATATTTCTCAAGGTTCGTTTAAAGGTCGTCCATAAATTGAAGACTCGCCAAAATTAGTTTTAATTAATGCATCCATCATGAACTTGACTATTATATTCAAATTATTCATTGAAATGGATATTATTTTTATTCACATTGTGTTTATATGCTACTTTATTTTTTAAAATAGATATTTACCGCATGTATTACAGAGTTTAAACATCATATTGCCAATAGTTACCTTCATGAAATTAATTCTATTGAAGATTTAATCAATTATTTTATGACACCAGTAGAAACACCAGATTTTTTATATAAATTAACATCAGATGCCAAAAATAATGTTTGTGAATTACCATCGAATTTAAATATACAATTAGAACCAGTACGTTATAATCCAAATGAAGATCATTTTTTCAAAGTTAATGCTTATCCTGGTCGATCAACAATTGTTAGTAATTTGGCTGCTACTAAAAAATATCCAAGTTATCGTGTTAGTCGTTTAAAACGTATTCGAGTTGAATATGAAGATATGTAGTCAAGATTATCCTTCAATGATGTTGTATATAGGCAAAGTATATTTATGTACCAATGCAAATCTGTATATTCATGTATTGTTTTCAATGAAAATATACTTTAATAATCTCTATGATAAAGATTTTCTTCTGTTTTTTTACTTTTGCTTTTGCGTTGTTTAAACCTGTATATCCTGGGACCATCGAGTAAGTAACACAGTTGTTAGGAAACGAGTACTAGGTAAGGATGGCAAATCAATTGATGACGTAGTGAAACTTCATCAGTTGAGATGGCTGGGACACGCGTTACGTGTGCCCAACGACCGACTACCTTGACGTGCGATGTTCAATGGTATAGGAGTAGGTTGGAAGAAAGCTAGAGGCGGCCAGACCAAAACATGGCACAAGTCCATGAAGTCACTGACAAGTGGACTGAGTCATGTTGGTAGGTGTAGACTACCTGGTTGGGGACCGCGAGATGACAGCAACCGATTGTTAGAGACCATGAATGACATGGCTCAAAATCGTTTGCAATGGAGCAAGTGCATCCACTGTTTGTGTTCTCCCAAATTCTAATCTTCTGAATTCTTCATATCCCTTTTTTCCTCTTTCTAAATTTATTTCACTGAATTATACTCTTTAAATAACATCTCCAAACCCTAATCTTCCCTATTACTACTTATACTCTTGCTACCTCTACCACTACAGGATTTGAATCGACAATTGTATCTGTGTGCTAATGTGGTATGGTAACTCGAACTGATGTACGTATGTACAAAGTTCTACGTTGTTACTGACTGACTGACTTGTTTAAACCTTGTGATAGTAATGTAGTTCACCCGTGTATTGGGAACACTTAGTGATTGTAGACCTGCTAAACAATATGATGTGAAGTCGAAACCAGTTATTTTCTAGTGCTTAAAACAAACATTTATAGTTATTATGGATATTTTACTCTGTTCGTTACTGGTTTTCCATTATCCACATCGTCAGTTCGTTTCTCTTCAATCATTATATTTGGTCCCAGGTTATGCTTTTTTATCGCTTATGATTGTGTAATCGATATTTACGGTAGCATAACTTCTCTGGATTGAATTTTCAGTCTCATATTTCTACTGTGGACGTTTCTGATCAGTTATTTAATTTTTTTCTTTTTCAATTAGTTGTTAGAAGACCTACAGTGACCTTGTTTTTAAATGAGTGCCTTTTTCGCGCCTCGAGGTTTAAAATGTAATTTAAAACAACAACTCCCGGCGAATAGTGACTTAACAAATGAACAACTCTTATTGTATGTATCCTTTTATAAATAAATATTTATCTTATTTATTGGAAGATTATATAGTATATTTGGTGATTTAATCATGAAAGCATTATTGATTATTGAATGCGGTTCCATAACTATCGAACGATCAAAATCATCTCAGCATCAACTATTTCGAGTAATTTGCAATAAATTAAACCCCTTTATTGCTTATAGGTAGAATCAGGTTCTGGTTCGGTTAGTTACTGTTCAAATTACACACGTTATTGTCGTTGTTTTAATACAGTACAGAAGTATATTAATCCTTTATATGAATTATGGGTAAATATCTGTTGTTTTGTTTGTGGTTATGATTTCTTTGTGATTTTTTATTTATGTGCCTCTTTAGTGTGAACATAATCTTGCTATATTTCTAGCTGAAATTATGGGCAAAACAAAAGTGGTTTATCTAAATGATGATATAGTTTGTCGATCTTTAGAAATGTTATATAGCAGAGATATCATTAGTACTAATGCTTCCGTTGTTGAAAGTTCCAGTTAAAGTTTTCATCTTATTAGTATTGCTCTTTATTGGAAAATAAAGAAACTTTTTTCAAAATTAAATTTTTCTCATTATGTTTAATAATCTTTGGGATTTGTCGCACAAAGTATACAAATTCCCTTGAAAACTGGTGTAACGAATTATTTTCATGATAGTTTCTAAGTCAGTCAACTACAGTGTAGGACTAGGTACACATGTGCATCGATCCAAGTTGCCATACCTCATTAGCACAACACTGAATTCATAAAAGTAGTTACTTCAATGGTGGTAATATATTAAAGAAAGATTGCATTTAAGAATATAGTACAGGAAGAAAGAATTCGTTCGTAGAAAGAAAGATATGAAGCGATTTTAATCTTATATTTTAAAGGAACATTTTAAAGGAGAGTGTATACAACTACTCCATTGTCATAATCACGTGGACCCCAACCAATTAGTCTATATATACCAACATGGTTAAGACTAGGAGTTAGTGACTACAAGGACTGATGCCACGTTTTGGTTTGACCGCCCCTAACTTTCTTCCAACCATCCCCAACACTAGTCAGCATTGCGCGTCATGGTAATCGGTGTTCAGACATACGTAGTTATCAAGGCTTCGTTACCAATCGTCTTGATAACCGTTACTAAGTGAATCTCAAAGATGTATGGATTTTAGGATGCTGACACGAAGTGCCGATTACAGTTTATTATTGTATAGCAGGAATCATTAAGCCACAGGGACACAAAGCGAATTCTGGCAGTAGTGCCAATGAGAGCTAATTAAGAGGTCGATTGGATTAATAAGATTATATATATAGGAAAACGAGTGATTTACCGAGCGATTTAAGCAATTAACATTTAGACTAGAAAGAAGAATATGTGCTTAGACTGTCACATGTAATCAAGCCTACATGCTCATTCGAATAACATCGTCTGTTAAATACATTAATTGAAGGCTGTCACAAAACTTAGACGTGAACAAATTTAAGTGGTGACGTGTTATACTTGTTTTCATTACTGATTAGTGAGCCTTTTCTGTTAATCATTGTAAAAGATATCTTGGTTCGTAATACTATCGTTTTTGTCAAACATGAAATTTTTGGCGTGGGGTTAAACCATTCTCGTCCGAAATTTTGATCTAGAACCTAGTAACCAACCAAAGTGAGGCGATAATTATTTACACTATCGTAATGCATGATGGAGGGCGTCTGCTGTCTTTTCTGGCTTACATGAAAAATGCGGAGTTTTTATGAGGAAAATACCACTCCATCGTGCTTTGGACGCATCAAGTGTAGCGCAGTCATTCATGGTGGAATAAAAATCACAACATGACTAGGGTCGTACCTACAATTAATCCTATGATAGAAATTATTTTAAGAGATCTATGATTGAGTGACTAAACAAGCGAAGACATTACCTTAATTACTGACTACGTTACACTTAGATAACTTGACAGTGTGGAGTTTATCCCAAGCTGACTTTTGTGGCACAGTAATATTTTCTACTGTGGTTCTGACTTAATTGTCTGATTGCCGCAATCGTAACTAGAAAGTTGCGGGAAACTTCAGAAAGTATTCGCCCAGCCAATTAGGTTTTTAGATCTTCAACTTCTATTTTAAGTCGTTCATGAAATATGCACTCCTGGTGCTATGCCATCTACTTTACTTATTAACAGTTAACATATTCGCTTATAGTGTACTTGAAACTGGGTGTCTTGAAAAGTTTTTCACCTGTGGAGTTTAGAGCAAATCTAGACATGCTATTCTATTTCAATCTAACCTACTACAACCCTAACGCTTTTCACTAACCATATAAATTAATGAAGCATTGTGAACTAAAAGGTGAATCTTCTGTGTTGCGCAGTACGTTGTGTTGATTATTTTTGTGCCCGTTTCTGTAGTCATTTTATTTGGACTTACAAGTTTCCTTACTTGTCATACGAAAAATCTTGGTATTTTTTCATTCATCAATCTAGGATTCGTCCTAATAAACTCGATTTTTGGATCATATATGGTATCCTAATTCATTCTTTTTAGTATAGTAATGTGTATATCAATAACGGATTCACGAAAAAGAGAATGCTCCTCACACACAGGGAGTTCCTCTGATGCTACCCAAAAAGCACGTAAAATATTTATAGGATGGGAATCTCATGGATCCAGAATCATCAAACCATCCTTCAGAACAAAGAAGGAGGGAATCACAACAAATGTTATCCAATGTCATGCACCCACCAATGATAATGATGATGATAAAGATCAGTTCTATGAGAGGTTGCAATTAATTATAGCGAAGTGCCTAAGGAACTACCTGACCATCCTGACGCGATACCTAAACGCCAAAGTTGGAATGGACAACGGATATGAAAATATTATGGGACGACATAGACTGACTGGGAGAAAGGAACGGGAATGGTGAGATATTTGCAAATCTATGTGCATTCAACAAAATGGTTATAGACGGCACTATGTTCCCTCACAAACGCATGCACAAAGCTCCTTGGTTCTCACCTGATCACACCACAGAGAACCAGATGGATCATATTCGCACTAGTAAAAATTCATTAGGTCAATCGGAGACGTAAGAAGTAGGAGGGGAACTGATATAGCTTCAAATCACCACCTGGTTGTGGCCAAGATGAAACTGAAGCTAATGAAGCACTGGAAAACTGGGGAAACAGAAGTACAAAGGTTCAGTACAGCTTTCCTTCGAGATACTGGCAAACTCAATGAATGCAAAATAACTTTCAACAACAGCTTACAAGTCTTGCAGGATCTACTGAAAGAAGAAGAAACTACTATGGAGGATAACTGAGAAGAAATTAAAGAATCACTAACTTCAACATGTTAGGAGGTGGTGGGCCGCAAGAGGCATCATCATAAGAAGTGGATCTCTATTGAAATCTTGGGTAAGATTCAAGAAAGGAAGAAGAACGAGAAGATAGTAATTAACAACAGTCGAACAAGAACAGAGAACGTCAAGGTACAAGCTGAATACGCATTAGGGAGCAAGAGAGTGAAGAGGAGTGTTAGAACTGACAAGCAGGAATCTGTGAAAGTCCTAGCAACGACAGTGGAAAAAGCTGCAAGAAAAGGAAATATCAATAAACTGTATGACGCGACGAAGAAACTGATAGGAAAATATAGTAAACCAGAGAGACCGGTCAATAACAAAGAAGGCAAAACAACCCCTGAAATTCAACGACAGGGAAACAAATGGGTAGAGTACTTTGAGGAGCTCTTGAATAGACCAGTTCCATCGAATCAACCGGACACCGAAGCAGCATTTACAGACCTTCCTATAGATGCCACTCCACCAATGATCAAAGAAATCAGGAAGGCCATCCGACAAATCAAGAGTGGGAAAGCAGTAGGACCTGAGAATATACCAGCTAAAGCACTGAAGTTAGTTATAGAATTAATTACAAACATTCTCCACATTTCATTTACGAAGATTTAGGAAGAAGAAAAAGTGTCGATAGAATGTAAAGAAGGTTACCTCGTCAAGGTACCAAAGAAAGTAGATCTGAGAAAGTGTGGGAAGTACAGAGGCACAGACTATTATCGGTACCACGAAAAGTTTTCAACAGTGTTGCTGAACCGGATGAAATACTCAATAGGCGTCCAGCTTCGAGATCAACAAAATGAATTTTGTACGAATCATTTGTGCACAGATCAAATCCTGACACTACGGATCATTGTTAAACAATCAGTGGAGTGGAACTCATCACTATACATCAACTTCCTTGATTATGATAAAGCATTTGACAGTGTGAACATTATGGAAACTTCTTCGACACTGGTATAAAATTGTCAATATCATCCGAAATCCATATGATGGACTACACTGCAAAGTAGTGCATGGAGGACAGCTGATAGACGCATTTCAAAGTGAAGAGCGGAGTCGGACGAGGCTACTTTCCCCCTTTCTCTGTTCCTCTGGTGATCGACTGGATTATAAAGAACTCTACATGTGAGGGGAAGCATGGAATACAATGGACAGCTTGGATGCAATTAGACGATTTGGACTTCACAGATGCCCTGACCTATCTGTCTTATGCACAACAACAAATGCAGGTCAAAACAAACGGTGTAGCAGCTGTCTCTGCATCAGTATGCCTCAATATACACAAAGGAAGAAGTAAAATCATAAAATACAGCACGGAGAAAGCCAACGCAGTCACACTTGATGGCGAGACTCTGGAAGAGGTAGAAACTAACGTACCTGGGAAGAATCATCGTTGAACGTGGAACATCTGATGCAGACGTAAAGGCGAGAATTGGAAAAGCAAGGACAGTATTCCTAAAGTTGAAGAACATATGGAACTCAGGCCCACCGTCAACCAATATCAAAGTGAGAATCTTGATTACAAACGTCAATACAGTCCTACTGTACAGAGCTGAAGCTTAAAGAACCACTACAATCATCATCAAAAAATTACAAGTATTTATAATCAATTATCTACACAAGATACTGATTGTCCGTTGACCGGATATCATCAGCAACAGTCTACTGTGGGAGAGAAGAAACCAATTTCCAGATGAGGAGGAAATTAAGAAAAACTTTGGAAATGGATAGGTTGTGCATTATTGAAATCATCAAACTGCATCACGAGGCATGCGTAAACTTGGAATTCTAAAGGGAAACGAAAAAGAGGAAGGCCGAAGAACACACTGCGTCGAGGATTGGAAGCAGACATTGAAAGGATAAATAGCAACTGAAATGGATTGCCCAGGACAGAGTTGGATAAAAAATGCTGGTGACCTCCATTTGCTTCTCCACGAGGGGTCACAGGCGCAAGTAAGTAATATCAATAAGAATATTATTACTATTATTTATATATATGGAAACAACCACGGAGGCATTAGATCATGAAGGTGCTAAAATGTTGGATCAAGGGAATTTTAAAAACGAGTTGGAAATGCAAATTCCTCCTCTGTTCTTGTCTCTATCACAATTTCAAAAATTCTTGGGATTTTCTAAAAAGAATATAATGTTCAGTTCAGTTTGAAATCAGTCTAAATGGATTCAGCTTATTAAATCATTTAATCAAGATCAATTCATTAGATAGTCACATACCAACAGAGAATGAGAAAATATTTGCAGATAATAGAACCTACCTAGATAACCGGTCTAAAAAGTAGTCATCGGAACAGAATGATTTACCGTTGGTGGACTACTTTTGAGAAGACTTAATTCTATTTACAGGGTGGTATATTAATGTTATTCAACTCAGAGAACACAATGCTGCTAGAAAAACGCATCAGAAACCAGAAACATACTGTCGATATTATAGTAGCTCACTTTCATAGAGTTGGATCCAGGATGGTCTCTTCTGAAACTATAATGACAATGTTATTCATGGTAATAAGAATACGAATGAATAATTATTGCTATATATATATACGTTCTCTGTCCCTATTCACTTCCCTTCGACTCTTTTGTGTTTTGTTTTATACTACTTATTAATATTCAGTAAGTAGTTTTTTCCTAGCGATTTCTAAGCTTATGTTGTAACGCAAGTTTGTCATGTAATATTCTGTAAAATTTACATTTAATTATAACATTTATCATTATAATTGATTTATCTCAAGCACTGCAGAAGTTATTCGCAATTTTGTATAATTGTTTATACCTTGTTTAAAGGAAACAGTTTCCATATTTTTTGTTCTTGATTCAATTTTTGCTTGCTGATAAACTGTTACCAAGTTTGAACATAACTAACAGCTATTATTTCCACTATCCGTATGTTGTAATTATTCATTATGTTATTATTGCAGGAAGCAACTTTGAGTTCAGATTTACAGACGCGGTAAACGCTATAGATATCTTAAAAGTTGATGTTTGTAACTCCACCTGGAGTCCCTCTGTAGCTAATGCCCGACCCAAACCCGGATAAAACAGCAGGGTTGGGCATAAGGTTAGCAACCCCATCCTGTAGAAAACTAACACGCTAAGAAAACGCTAACCAGTAAACAAAATAATTCAAACCATTATATATATGTATATGAAATAGACAATTGACTTTTAAACACATTTCTAATGATGATAAATTTGTAAATATTTTTGATTAAATAAATATTATGTTGTTTAAATAGGAATAACTGACACACACACATACAGACAGTGATAAAATAAGATGAGTATTACCATGAACAAAGGATATGATTTCAAGTTGTTCATTTTTCTTTCCTGTGAACTATAAAGTTTTACAGATAGTGATCGTGGTGGTGGTGGTGTGTGTGTGTTTTGTTGTTGTTGGGGGGGGGGCGGTACTTGTCAAAATGATGTCAGAAAAGAAAAGGAATTTCAAAATAAATAATTCTCTATTAAAATTTTTCATGCAAATATTTGATATCAGATATGAAATTGATTATAATATATATCTAGTGAAAATTCTTTAAATGAATCAACGATGATATCCATATGAAGAAAAAAGAGAAGAATTTGATTCGATGTTTTTATGTTGTTGTTGTAATTATGCATATCGCATAATCCTAATGTTGGCCAAATATTCTATATTAAGAGGATCATTAAATTGTTAATATTTCTACCATATTTGTAAAATAGCTAATTTCAATGTTTTGAAGTAATTTACATTTGTGAATGTTCATGCATGTTCAAATAGTGAAGAAAGCTAATTGTATGACTTATTGATTATTAGCTAGTTTGATATATATATATATATATATTAATTGAAAATATACTAACTTATTTAATGAATCCATAGAATTGTATTAAAAAATTGTTGTATTATGTAATGATGTTGATTTATTTTGTAATTGTGAAGAATCTAAAACAGAAAATTTAAGTAATAGAAGTTTAACTACTTGTAAGTAGTCAAATGTGTAATACAAAAGTATTGGGCTCCATATACATTAAAAATTATATATATTTGTAATGTTCCAATAAGTAGAAAAATGAGATTTTCTGATGCTTGATGATTCAGTATAAGTCACTTCTTCGGAGAATAAATAGCCGAATCTGCAAAGTACTTAATTTATTTGAAATTATCAAATCAAACCTTGGTAATGATATATATTGTGGTCTTTAGCTCTTTACATTGTCTGATATAAATCTACTTCTCTGTGTAATTCATTAACTTCTGTTGAAGATTTGATGAAGACTATAAAATTTCACAAAAGTACTTCTGATATGAATCAGCATATGCTCACTAGTGACTAGCTTCAAGTGGTATTTGCTAGAGTTCTAGCGAGAAGCAGTGACAAGTGGAGTTCAACCTAGTCTGTTGTGAGATAGTAACTTACTGAAGACAATGATGGATGTATCGCTCAATTTAGTGGATTAGTTGAAGTTAGACATTAACACCGTTGGATGCCGGCCAGCTCAGTGGTCTAATGGTTAATGGTCCTGGGTTCGAATCTCGCGAGTCGGGATTGCGTATGCGCACTGCTGAGTCCCACAATAGGACGAAACGGTCGTCCAGTTCTTCCAGGTTTTCGATTGTGGTCTAACTTGAAATGACTCATGATTTCAACTATTGAAATTACTACAATATCCACAAAACCCCTTCTGATATAGACCAAACATTTATCGTTAAATGAATCCGTTTTAAATTGATTCTTTTCCGACTCTATACTGATAAGATCTAATTGAAGTATGTTATAGATCAAACTGTGAGTAACCAGACGAAAAAGCGGTTAAGCATAGCATTTCATTTCCATGTATTTTGTTATGATTATATTATCTGGTTTCATTCAAATTAAGGAAGAATTAGTCATATTGTTAGACATGGGATTTTTAAAAAACACATAAACATTGGTACAAGGGAGCACCAAATATGTATTCACTACATAAATCACTCGATTTTTGTGATGGATGAAGTACTTCTCGGATGCTCAAACTGAAACAGATTATTTTCTTAGGAGGTCAAACACTGTGTCTTTGACTTATAGGTCTAATCCACAAAGCAATGGAGCAGTGTCAGGATATGCATTCACATGTTAGCCGATGACTAATAATACGTTCATATGCCATTTATTCCTTCAGGATCCTGAAGTTTGTATGCACCATTGATTTGAGGTCAGGGTTTTCCAACTCTTCTAGATGGACTCTCCGTGTCCACCAACCCGTTAAAAGCTTACTTAGTTACTTACGCCTGTTACTCTTCGTGAAGGAGGATAAGCCGTTCATCAGCATTCGCCATCCAACTCTGTCCTGGGCAATCCTTTCCAGCTTTTTCCAGTTCTTATTCATCCTCTTCATATCTGCTTCTATTTCTCGACGTAATGTGTTCTTTGACCTTCCTCTTTCACGCTTCCTTTCAGGATTCCAAGTTAGGGCATGTCTCGTCAGACAGTTTGGTGATGCGTAATGTATGTCCTATTCATTTCCATCGTCTTTTCTTAATTTCTTCTTCAGCTGAAAGTTATTTTGTTCTCTTCCAGAGTAGGCCGTTGCTGATGGTATTCGCACAATGGATGTTGAGTATCTTGCGTAGTTAGTTGTTTATAAATACTTGTGCCTTCTGGATGATGGCTTTCATAGTTCTTCAAGTTTCAGCTCCGTACAGTAGAACTACCTTGACGTTCGTATTGAAGATTGTGACTTTCATATTGGTTGAATGGTGTTTTGAGTTCCATATGTTCTTCAATTGTAGGAATGCTGTCCTTGCTTTGCCAATCCTTGCCTTTACGTCTGCATCTGATCATCCTTGTTCATCGACGATGCTTCCTAGGTACATGAAGGATTCTTCCAGAGTTTCTCCATCAAGTGTAATTAGATTAGTGTTCTTCATGTTGTATTTCAGGAGATCAGTTAAAGCACCGGACATATATCACATATAAATATTAGTAGTAAAAGTTTAAATAACTAAAAATATATACATTTCGAAATACGAATACTTTTTTTGTTGTTTCTGTATTAAAAAAGATGAAAACCAAACAAACGAACCCAGATCATACATGATTTATATAGTTTGTAAAAATTTGTCAAATGTATATTATTTAAAATAGAATAAATAGTTAATCATTTATTATGATAAAAAAGAATGTCAACTTTTAAGCAGTTAGTTGTTCTTGTTACCATAGCAACAGAGATGAATGAAGAAATACTTTCATAAAACTAATTTGTCATTAAAATAAAAGAAGAAAGGGGTATTGTGTGTTTATAATATTTTTCATAGGAAAAGATTAGGACAATTATGTGTGTGGGTGGTGTGTGTGTGTGTTTGTGTTTTTTCCTCTGATGAACTTTTAAATTCAGTTAGACATTTAATTTATTTGTCCTATTATTAGGATAGACGGACGAGAAATGAAGGTAGATAATGAGAAGAATATCAGATAGGTTTTGTGGATATTATAGTAATTTCAATGGTTAAGATCATGATTCAGTTGAAACTAGACCACCATGGTCAAGTGCTCGCTCGCGAAACCCGTAGGTCCTGGGTTCGAATCTTTCAAGGGGCGAGGTCGCGGATGCGCACTGCTGAGGAGTCCCGCACCAGGACGAAACGGTCGTCCAGTTCTTCCAGGTTTCCCATGGTGGTCTAGCTTCAACTGACTAATGATCTTAACCATTGAAATGAGAAGAATAAACAATCATTGAATAGAAGTAGAAAATGTAAGTTTAAGATAGAATGAATTGAAGAATGCTGGTCAACGGCTTATACTCCACGACGAGGGGTAACAGGCGTAAGTAAAGTGAAGTAAAATTAAGATATATATTTCAGATGGAAAATTTTAGAGTTACTGTGTTTGTTTGTTTGTTTTTTGATGACCTGAATTCATTCAATTGAATTAAGTCAAGATAATTAACACAACAATCTTTGATTACTGTAAATAGAATGATATATCTCAGGTTGTCAATAATCATGATAGAATGAATAATTTTATTAATATCAGGAGGGCTTTTGTGAATATTATTGTAATTTTAATAGTTGAAATCATGAGTCTATTGAAGTTAGACCAGCATGGAAAACCTTTAAGAACTGGACGACTGTTTCATCCTATTATGGGAGTCCTCAGCAGTGCTCATACGTAATCCCGACTCGAGAGATTCGAACCCAGGACCATTAACCATTAGACCACCGTGTTGGCCGGCATCTAACAGTGTTTATGTCTAACTTCAACCAATCCACTAAATTGAGCGATACATCCATCATTGTCTTCAGTAAGTTATTATCTCACAACTGACTAGGTTGAACTCCACTGGCCACTGCTTCTCATAATTTTATTGATTTTGGCAAAATGCTGATGTAATCGTATTAGAAATTTCTGAACAGAACATTACGTAACCTTTAAACTGTAGATTTTAAAAGAATAATTAATTGTCAGATTAAATATGTAAATATTATTCTAGATTATATGGTGAAAAGACCATGAGGTGAGACTATAATTTATGGACAACATTTGAGCGACGCTATAGTGACCTCGAGAGTGTACACCTAATAACTAGGTCTAAATGGGGGGGGGGAGCGATCTTAAACCAGTGTGAGGAATTCGAATTATGAATTATAGTTGATGGTTAGGGTTAGGAATTGGATATAGGGTTCTCATCACGAACTGAGATTAGCTATAATGGCAAAACTCTATTTATCTAAATGAATGATTGAATTTCGCACCAACATCTGAGACCTGTTATCTTATACCTGATTGCTTCGTCCATAAATTATAGTCCCACCAGTGATTCTTTCATCCTAGTTGTTTTGATATTCCTGTGAATTAAATTTAATTTGTAAGAGGTTCTAATCATCCTATTATTAATATTCTTGACTGTGCAGCAGATAGTTTTGACATAATCATGTCATAAACTTTGTAGAATAGACTGACTTCAGCTAATATTTGAATCCAGAATTCTTTGTATAGGCATCAACAATAGGATTTGTGTTCATTTCGTTGGGAAATTCCAAAATAGGCGGAATAGTTGTTATGCATTCCACACTGTTAGCTACGATCTATTTATTCTGTACAGTTATTTGAATATTTTACATCGTATTCGATACAGTGTATATCGTAGTTTATTTTACATGTGAATTGCAAGTGGATCACAACAAAGTAGTTTTGTGGTGTGTGCTACTGATATCGATAGATATAAGTAGTATGTATCATCAATTGAAATTGAAATATCTGGTAGCAAAAGGTTAAGAAGATGAAAGAAAAGAGAACGAGAACCGAGATAGATTAGACTAAGAACGAAGGAACGATGAAGTTTATGGACGATTGATTAACATTTTACAAATGAATTACATACTGTATAGTTCACAGATTTTACTAAGATGTTCTGTAATTTGTGTGTTCCAAATACATTTGATTGTCCACCATTTGTGTTCACGTTCACTACAATATTTCATTCATGAAGTTAATTCACAAAAAATAGTTTCCCAGTATTTACGCGTTGAGTTGTTATGATACATTGAAAACGTCAATCGTTATGAACCCGAAAAACGTAATGATTTGTACAATTTTTGGTGATGATGATGATGATAATGATCATAAAAATGAATTATTGAGTTCTGGATTAAAAGGTAGGAGATTTACGGGAACTAGGAAGCAGTTCAGTAGATACTGTCTAAGTGTTTAAGTACAGGACGTATCATCAATTAATCAGTTCTTAAAGAGACTAAGTTAATAAATGACTAGAACAAAATGAAAAGGAACTCAAATGGAAAAAGTATGTAACTAGTGGATTCGTATAAATCTCAGAGGAGGAGGAAATCAGGAAGTGGATAGGACACACATTGAGGAAAGCACCCAACTGCGTCACAAGGTAAGCCCTTACATGGAATCCTCAAGGCCGAAAGAGGAGAGGAAGACCAAAGAATACAATACACTGAGAAATGGAGGCAGATATGAGAAAAATGAACAAGAATTGGATGGAATTAGAAAGGAGGGCCCAAGACAGTGTGGGTTGAAGAATGTTGTTTGACGGCCTATGCTCCATTAGGAGTAACAGGCGTAAGTAAGTAAGTAAGGATTCGTATATAGATCATGAGGAAGTTGAAAATCCAGATTAATACGATACAGATTTCGGTTTAAATAAATACAATCAGTACCAAACTTAAATCTAGAGATTTCTGCAGATTATCTTCAACCATCGAATATCAAAAACAGTGTATACGATGTTGAACCAATTAGACAAGAGATTACATTGTAAGACAATCAATCAATGTTAAGATCTAGACAAACACAATGATCAGGGAACTGAAGAGAATGTGTTAAACAATCGATTATTTTATTCTAATTGTAGTAAGCGAGAATACAAGTGATGGACAACCAAACATATTTGGACATAGGATTACAGAATCTCTTAGTAAAATCTGTGAATCATACAGTAAATACTTCATTGTTTCTTCGTTCTCACACCAATCAACATTCTTTGTTCTTATTTCTCTTTTCTTCGAACTTTTTAACCTTCTGCCACTAGACATTTTAATTTCGATTCATGATACATACTACTTATATTCACTTGATATTGTTTAGCTTGTATCTTCGCATTGAGGTTTAAGACTGCAATTCATTAGTCTGTTATTGGCATATGTACATACTGTGCGTATGACTTGATATTGCCTTAATTCACAAGCTTTTTGTAAGCAATGATGGATATTGGCTAGAAGTGGAATCCAGTTTGACACGCGTTTCGTCCTATTTGGGACTCGTCAGGTGGATGTACCTGCATCTCCGAGAGTTGATGTTCACTCTGGGACTCGAACCTAGTACCATTCGCTTCAAACGTTATCGCATTATCCACTCAGCTACTGAGTCCTGATAACCACTTGCTTGTGCAATAGGGTGAATTTAAATTCACTTGGTATTGTTTGGGTTATATCTTCCCATTGAGGTTTAAGATGCAGGTACATCCAGCTGACGAGTCCCAAATAGGATGAAACGCGCGTCCTGCTAGACACTATCCATCATTTCATACTACTTATATCTTTTGATATCAGTAACACATACCACACATTATGAACAAAGTACTTTTTTAATAAATTCTCATCAGATCCTATGGCTACTCAATATTTAAAGAAAAAACAGGATTTTTTTTACCTTTATGAATCTTACGAATACAACCTTCTGTTTGTGTAAATTGATATTCTGGTAAACAATCACATTTATAAGAATTTCTACCAAGATTCAAACATGTACCCCATTCACATTTGTTTAGCACATCATTCCGACTACATGGTGATTGATATTTATATAATTGTGTATAGGAATCTTTCTGTAAATGGTTTATATCTGTGAAATAATATAATAATACAAACAATTAGATAATCGAAAGATAAATAATAAAGAATATGACTTAAGAATCATCGTTAGTCAAGACTTAAAGACTACTGCACACTGCCGTTCAATAGCCGCCAAAGGTTTTAGAACGTTTTGATCAATATGTAGGGCTTTTAGTCATGTCGATGCTGAAACGTTTTTGACTTTGTATACACTGTTCATGCGTCCTAAACTTGAGTACTTCATACAACCCGTTAGCCTTGGCTTAGTTCATTCTATGATATTGAAACATGATTTATGAAGGTGTATAAGTAGTATATAACTGTTGTTTTTCAAATCACAAACAGTCAACGTTTGTATTCTTGAGACAATGTTACTGTTATAGCAGCTAATGTACAATTGAGTTTGTTCATATTTAATTTGCTTAAACCCTTTTGTTAACTTATCTAACGGATAAAGTCATTCGTACAATAACAACTTATCTATACTATTGTACCTTTATTATTGCTGCACTTGTATGAATATGTATACTTGAACAATCCTTACTACCTACGCATATATATTCATTGTGATAGTCTTACTGTTAGTCGATGATTCATTTATTTTCCTATATGTATATATGTATATTTTAATCGTGTTCAAGGCCTCTACTCGCTTGCACACTCGCTCATTCGACTCGCTCTCTCTGTTGCTCGCTTTTCAGCATTACTCATTCATGCTTCTTTAGCGTACCTGTAATTAGGGTTATCTATGAGTGGTGCAGTCATGAACGTTATCTACACTTCGTATTCGCCTTCTGATTAAAATGTCGGCCAGATCATTTGTTTAGTGGTTAACTGCTCGCGCACGAGACTGATAGGTACTGGGTTCGAATCTTGCGGGGAGCGGATCATGGATGCGCACTGCTGAGGAATCCCATACTAGAACGAGACGGCCGTCCAGTGCTTCCAGGTTTTCTATGGTGATCTGGCCTTAAATGACTCATGATTTTAACTATTGAACTTTCTAAAAATCTCCACAAAACCCCTTCTGATAATTGTAGATTTCCTAATATGAATGAGACGAATCTGAACTTGAATAAACTATACGTCTTATATGCAACATTTTAATAATTATCCATTGCTACTGTAAGATGGAGTATAAGAAAAACTAGATATTTGAGCACATTTTAGTATATATAGTAACGAAAGCGTGACTTTGATGCATGCAGAAAAGTAGTGACGACTAATCAGAAATGGGCATTCGCGGTTACCGTTACCCGTAAAACCTCAAGATTATTAACAAAATTTGAGTTATCCCATGACCACCTTAGCAACAAATGTTTTACATTTTTCCCATTGTCTTATTTTTGAATACATAAGTCATTCGGTCATAATCAACGTAGAACCTGGCACATGTGCACATCGGCTTAAGTTGCCATACCCCATTACTAAACCTCAGAGTAGTAGACATTGTAACAGTATTAACGGTAGACAAAAAAATCAGGCATCGAAGATTCGATTCGGAAAGAAAAAACATAAGGGATTTATAATCTCAGGATTTGAGAGGGAGACAAAAAATCAGATGCACCTGCACCATCATAAACCATTTAGATCCATGTCAGCCTTAGCCTTTAACCCTTGATTACCATAATCACATGGACCCCAACCGAGTTGTCTGCACCCATCTACATGTGTTAGTGGGACACAGATCGGATTAAAGCATGCTCAATGTACAATTGTGTTGATGAACGCTGATTGGCTAATTGTTATTTAATCAGCGCTAGTCGATATTCAGAGTACTCTCTCGAATCTTCTGTAAAAAGCTATAAATATCCTAGCGTTTTTCCTACTATGCTTCTTACTTCCATCTAACCTTGTTATTTGGAATATAATCCCTTTCCTGTTCAACTGTGTTCTGATTTGAGGGCTTGTCGAGTGAATTGATGTCCAAGACTACAAAGCAATAGGAATAGCTTGGTTTGCAATAAGAGAGAATTATAACAACACTTAACTTGAATCGGAGTGAATAATCATACCAGGTGTAATTTGTAAAGGAATAGAATTTCACCTTGTTGATATCAAGGACTATAATGAAGGAATCATAGCTGGCATATATACCTCTTACGCGGGTCGCTTCCATATGCCACGTGTTTCAGTATGTTTCGTCCTGTTTCGGAAAAACTTGATGGATGCATTGGTATCTTGATTTTGATTTCAAAAGTGAATGTAGAATACGTGCCATATATAGACAATAATCATATAGTTTAAAGGATAGGGGAATATTTTGGTAGAAAGATTGTGGAAAAACAAGAAAGACTTCTTTTTTGATTAAACAAATTCTGTTTCAGTCATTGTCGAAGTCCGTTCGACCTTTTAAATAGAAGGTTAGTTACATACATAGAGTGCGAGGATTGGCAAGTCAAGGAAAGCATTTCTATAAATGAGGGACAGATTAGATGTAGAACAACTTTTAATCAATATCAAAATCAGAATCTTTAATACGAACATCAAGTCAGTTCTACTGTAAGGAACTGAAATGTGAAGAACTAGCTCAAACACCAACAAAACGGTTCAGTTTTTCATAAACAGTTGTCTACGCAAGATACTCAATCTCCGTTGACCGGATACCATCAACAACAGCCTACTATGAAAGAGAACTAACAAACTTCCATCTAAGGAGGAAATAACTTTGTAAGTGGATAGGACATACATTGAGGTAATCATCAAACCGCATCATGAGGCATGTCCTAACTTGGAACTCTGAAAAGAGACGAAGGAGAGGAATACCAACGAACACAGGGCGTCGAGAATTGGAAGGAGACATGAAAAGGATTACTTAGAACAGAGTTGGATAGAGAATGTTGGTGAGCGGTCTGTGCTCCTCGAGGAGAGGTCGAGGACCAAAAAGAGCTTAGCAGTGACTCGAGATAATAAGTTCTGAACTGATTCTGACTATTGTTTTTTTGTCACATGATATTATTGAATAGTTAGAGTCATAACAGCTATATCACTCATGTCAATAATGATGGTAAATTCATCACCTCAGTCATTGTTTTTCCATGTGATACAAAATCTACGATTTCAACTTATCACTCATGAATACCAGCAGAAGTATTCATGGTAAATCATGAAGAGAGGTATGCTTTTACAATTAATTGATCACTGAGTCGAGCATCACTTGGTCGATAGCATTCGATCTACACTAAGAAGGAATTGATACACATGACACTGGTCACCGTCCAGTGATCAATCAATTGTGATTACATCTCAGTCCTATAGGAGGTTGGTCGTGGCTCGCATAGCTCAGTGGTAACGTCTCTGACTGTGAAGCTGGGTGACATGACGTCAAATTCGTCAGGATGCACCAGTTCTCTCAAGATTACAGGTACACCTTGCTGACGAATGCCAAGTAGCACGGAACCTGAGTCCAGGGTTTCCTGTTGACTACCTCCAACCACCATCCTAACTCAAGAGGTGTGCTTTGTTTATTAAGTATTTTAGAAATAAAAATCTATCATAACTTACAATTATATTGTTTAATGTTTACTGGATGAAAAGATTTTCTGATATCTTCAACACTTTCATCATTTTGCAATACACTGTCTGCTCCTTCTATAAAGAAAATTTGAGATATAAAACTAATGACAAATTCAGTAAAGAGTAATAGCTACGAGCAATATAGAAGTTTTAAGTATCAATGAAAAGGTAGGAGATAAATAGATTAACATAATCCAGCGTCAATTCGCAACTGACTAGATTTCAAAAGACTAGACTACAGTCCAAATGGTTGAGTATTTGAATATATATATGTTCTGGGCAACCCTTTCCAGTTCCTTCCAGTTAATATTCATCCTTTTCATGTCGTCTTTCAATTCTCGACGCCGTGTGTTCGTTGGCTTCCCTTTTTTCCGTTTTCCTTCAGAATTCCAAGTAAGCGCTTGCTTTGTCATGCAGTATGATGATCTCCTCAATGTGTGTCCTATCCACTTCCAACGTTATTTTCTAATTTCCTCCTCAGTTAGAAGTTGTTTTGTTCTCTCCCACCATAGGCTGTTGCTGATTGTATCCGGCCAACATATATATCACAAGATTAAAACTGTCATTTGGTACAAAGTATTCAACACAGGATCGTGCATTTATTCTTTTTTTTGAGGATTGACAGTTAATCATGCAATTAAATTCTTCTAACACTAAACCAAATATAGCAATTAGCCTTTTCCAATTTTCAGCATAGGATTGTGGAGATTATTAAGTTATTGATTGAGATCTTGAACCGATTGATGTTAGACCACCATTAACTTGTAAAATGGTACAGTTAAGTGAAATATTGGTGTCTATAGCTGAGCGAAAGTTCATCTTCAAAATGACCAAGTTCATACAACCTTCAATTGAACGACTGGTTAGGTGTAACAGATAGATCTGTTGTATTATAAGAATGGGTTTTGTGGAGATTTTTAGAAATTTCACAGGTTGAAATCATGATCCAATTGAAGCTAGATAACCATGGAAAACCTGGGGGCACTGGACGGCCGTTCCGCCCCACTGCGGGACTCCTCAGGAGTGCGCACTCACGAATCCGCCGGCCGCAGGATTCGAACCCGGGACCTGCTGGCTTCGCGCGCGAGGACTTAACCACTAGACCACTGGGCCGGCATGTGACGGTGTTAATATCTAACTTCAACCAATCCTCGAAGTTGCGCCACCGTACACCATTGTCTTCAGTGAGTTCCTATCTCACAACAGACCTGGTTGAACTCCACTGGTAACGACTTCTCACTAGAACTCTAGGAGTGTCTTCTGAAGTCAGTCACTAGTGAGCAGGTGATTATTATTATCAGAATGGGTTTTGTGGACCCGCGGGCGGGAGCGTGTTCGTGGGTGCGCACTGCTGAGGAGTCCCATACTAGGACGAAACGGCCGTCCAGTGTTTACAGGTTTACCATGGTGGTCTAGCTTCACTTGGCTCATGATTTCAACTTGTGAAAGATCTGTTGTAGTTGTAACATTGCTTTATTCAATCTAAACTCAATGACCGATCAATTTAAATCGAGAAATGTGCTGTATCTATGACTATACGATAGACGTTTATTTGAGAAATAGTTATATTGTACAATCATGAAATGTGTGGTAGGTGCCTTCTGATACTTTATACAGTAGGTTATCTACCAACTATACTCTGTCATCCAAGTAGTAAACTGAAATGTCATTCTATAAAAGACTAGTCATATACACACTGTACTTTTGTCCATGACTTTACTGGCATGGTGGGTAACTAAACACTAGTTCCTCTTAGAATACCCACTCTACAAACCGTTTATATTAAGAACAACAGTCATGCATTCACTAATGATGTACTTCAATCAGAATTTCTCTAGTTCTACTGAGTATCAATACTTGATAAAGTTCATACTAAGTTGAAAAATATACCTGGTTTTCAGTGACTAACTTGTTAAAATACGTCAGTATTCCAAATTTAAACAAAAAGAATAATAACGAACCTCCTATGTTATTAACGACAAAACAGAAGTAATTCCAGAAGTTGAAATCATCAGTCAATTGAAGCTAGACCACCATGGAAAACCTGGAAGCACTGGACGACCGTTTCGTCCTAGTATTGGACTTCTCAGCTGGATATACCTGCACCGTTCGGTTCAGACGCCATCACGTTATCCACTTAACTACTAAGTTCTGATAGCACTTGCTTGTATAATAGGGTGAAGTTTAAATTCACTTGACATTACTTACTTGAATCTTCCCATTGATGTTTACGATTGTATATTGGGTGTATTGCTTCGATACTACCTTCAGTCACAAGGATTATAAGCAAAGATCGATAGTGGCTAATAGTGGAATCCAGTTTGATGCGCGTTTCGTCCTACTTTTGACTCGTCAACTGAATGTTTGCTTATAATACTTGTGAATCAAGGCTATATCGATGCAATACATACAGTATGCATATATAACCAATAAGAGGCTGTTTTTAATTGTAGTCTTAAACATCAAAGGGAAGATTCTGACAAGCAATACCAAATGAGTTTTCTAGATAACTAATTCATTCATTTAACATGATTTCATATTTATATGATGATCGGTATTATTGGTTATATAAGATAAACAAACATAAACGGATTCACAAAATTACATGGACTTCACCAGATCACACTACGATAAGAGTGGTATACCAGTTTAATATTAGTTTGTGATATAAAGTAACTAACTGCACAACTATTCAATGATAAGTCTTTGGATATTTATAAACAACTTTGAGATAAAAACCCTGAAGTCATATGCAACTAATTGATTGTGGAGTTTTTAATTCCGAGAGAACAAACCAGATCTCAATAGAGAAAGAATAGCTGGAAGTAGACAGGACATACATTGAAGAAAGCACCGAACTGCGTCACAAGACAAGCCCTCACATAAAATCCTCAAGGACAAAGGAGGTGAAGAGGAAGACCGAAGAACACATTACACCGGAAATGGAGATAGACATGAGAAAAATGAACAAAAATTGGATAGAACTGGAAAGGAAGATTTATGACAGAGTGTGTTGGAGAATGCTGTTTGACGGCCTATGCTTCATTGGGAGTAACAGGCGTAAGTAAGTAAGATAAACAAGGAAGATCAGATGCAGACGTAAAGATGACAATTAACAAATCAAGGAAAGCATTCCTACAATTGAAGAACATATGAAAGTTACAACAACTGCTTATCAACCAATATCAAAATCACAATCTTCTATACGAACATCAAGATAGTTCTACTATACAAAGTTGAAACTTGGAAAAATGATGATCGGTATTATTGGTTATATAAGATGAATTGCGAATGTGTATCATGTCACAATCTTGAAAGGTATGTAGGGAGGTTTCTTATTTCTTTTTCCTTTAGATGATATGTCAAATCATTGAAATATTCTGTCATGTTACAAAGAAGATCATTCGACAGAATATGTGTCTAAGCAAGTACACTTCTAATTGTCTGTAATTGATTCTATGTGCATCTACTTCTTCGTTCTTTTTTAAATTTCAGTTATGTATCACCTCAGTTGATGTTAAATCATGTCAATTAACTGTACAAGAAATGTAGTTTTACATAGAAACGTCTTCTCTTCTTTTTTTAAATTTTGTCTTAAAATATAATCTGTGTGCTAATGTTTTGGTTCACAAGTAGGATTAAATATTAAATAGATAAAATAAAAGGTAAGATCCTCAACTACAACCTGGAGAACACCAACACAATCACACTTAAAGGAGAAACTGTCAGTCAGTCAGTCATCTACAACATAGGACCAGCCACATATATGTATCGGTTCAAGTTGCCATATCGCATTAGCACAGCAAGATGAACACCGGATTCATAGGAGTGGTTAAGTCAATGGTCGTAATATATAAAGGAAAGATTGAATATAAGAATATAGTACAAGAAGAAAGAAGTAGTTCATAGAAGGAGAAACTTTAGAAGAGGTGGAATCTTTTTCATGTATCTGAGTAGCATCATCGATTAGTATGGTGGATCTGATGTAGATGTGAAGGCATAAGTCGTCAAAGCAAGAGCAGCATACTTACAACTGAACAATATCTGGAACTCAAAACAACTGTCTGTCAACCAACAACAAAGTCAGAATTTTCGATACATATGTCAAGACAGTTATACTGTATCGGGTAGAAACTTGGAAACTACCACAATGATCATCCAGAAGATATAGGTGTTTAATAACAGTTATCTATGCAGAATAATTCGCATCCGTTGATCAGAGACTATAAACAACAACCTACTGTGAGAAAGAACAAACCGAATTCCAGCGGAGGAAGAAATGAGGAAGAAGTGCTGGAAGTGGATAGGACACACACATTGAGGAAACCACCCAACTGCATAACAAGTCAAGTCCTTATTTGGAATCGTGAAGGACAAAGAAGAAGAAGAAGAAGACCAAATAACGCATTACGCCGAGAAATGGAGATAGACATGAGAAGAATGAATAGAAATAGGGTAGAACTAGAAAGAAAGACCGAGGACAGAATGGATTGAACAATGCTAGTCGGCGGCCTATGATCCATTGGAAGTAACAGGCTTAAATAAGTAAGTAAGTAAGTAAATCTTCTGTTATATCAGTTTTTGTGTTCTTACTTTCACATCAAAGGAATTGCATTGGTTCTTCACTTTACAAGTATAAGTAATAATGAACTATTCCGACATAACAATCAACGAGATATATGATTTATAGTTTAAAATGAATAGATATTTATTCGAATAGGTTTTGTAGAGATTTTAGAAATTTCACTGATTGCGCAAGACTGATAGGTCTTGGGTTTGAATCTCGCAGGGTGCGGGATCACAGATGCACACTGTTGAGGAGTCCCATGCTAGGACAAAACGGTCGTCCAGTTCTTCCAGGTTTTCCATGGTAGTCTACCTTCAATTGATTCATGATTTCAATCAGTAAGATATTTATTCATTACTTCTACCAACATTTAGATTTAAGTTATATTACGTAAGAATTCAGAATGAATAATTTCTTATCATTTCAAAGGAAACAGTATCATCATGTATCGACTTTACTTCGTTCTGCTTCGGTTTGGTTTGGTGTTTTTTCATATCTAAATTGAATATAACACTTAAAAGTTTCCCAACATTCATCTCCATTGACGTGAGTTACAGAAAAGAAAGACAAAAAAAGCATAAAACAAATTATTCATTCTATCTGTTTTAAATGTATTTGTTGCTTGGTACATTTTCTGTTCCCATCTGTATAACACTTAACTGAATGTTTCTTTTACTACAATTTGAATGGTTTGTAATCTTGGTATATTTTGTAAATGATCCATATTTGAATATACATTTATTATCCTATGGTTTTTATCGCTTATCTGAAAAGATAAGAAATGAAATGTTGTACATTGATTTGTGATTGTTTGATAGTATCTCACCATTGTTGTTCTAAGACTGTAATTGATCAATCTCTTGTTGGTATATGTACTTCCAGTGTGTGGATTACATCGATATTGTCTTAAGTCACAAGCTTTATAAGCGAGGATAATTACTTACTTACTTACTTACTTAAGCCTGTTACTCACAATGGAGCATAGGCCGCCGACTAGCATTTTTCAACCCACTCTGTCCTGGGCCTTCCTTTCTAATTCTACCCAATTCTTGTTCATTTTTCTCATGTCTATCTCTATTTTCGGCGTAATGTGTTCTTCGGTCTTCCTCTTCACCTCCTTTGTCCTTGAGGATTTTATGTGAGGGCTTGTCTTGTGACGCAGTTGGGTGGTTTCCTCAATCTGTGTGTCCTATCCACTCCCAGCTCTTCTTCCTAATTTCCCCCTCCGATGGGATCTGGTTTGTTCTTTCCAACAGTTGGTTGTTGCTAATAGTGTCCGGCCAACGGATCTGAAGTATTTTGCGTAGAGAACTGTTAATAAACACTTGTATCTTCTGGATGATGGTTTTGGTAGTTTTCCAAGTTTCAGCTCCGTACAGTTGAACTATCTTGACATTTGTATTGTAAATTATAACTTTAGTGTTGTTTGACAACTGTTTTGAGTTCCAGATGTTCTTCAGTTGTAAATATGCTGCTCTTGCTTTACCCACCATGTTCATCATTGATGCTGCCCGAATATGTAAAGGTTTTTACATCATCCAAATCGTCTCCGTCAATTGTGACTGGATTGGTGCAAGCTGTGTTGTATCGGAATATCTTGCCTTTCCCTTTGTGTATATTGAGACCTACTGCTGCTGAGGCTGCTGCTACACTGGTCGTCTTCTCCTGCATTTGTTGTTGCGTTTGGGATAGAAGGACCAGATCATCTACGAAGTATAGATCATCCAGATTGACGTACGTTTCGTCTTATTTGGGATTTGCCATCTCGATATTACCTTCATCTCAGAGTTGATGCTAAATGGATTATGCGATAGCGTTTCAATCGAATGGTACTGGGTTCGAGTCCCGGAGTGACCATCAACTCTGGGATGCAGATATATTCAGCTGACGAGTCCTAAGTAAGAAGAAATGTGCGTTCTGGATTCCACTACTAGCCACCACCCATTTTTGCTTATAATGAAATCTTGTGTTAAGTCGTTTTCTTTTTTGTTCTTAATACACGATCATCTGTGAATTTGTGTTCTAACTAATCCGTTATGTCAAACTATGTAGCAGTTGGTGAATGGAAAATATAGACAGAGGACATCACATTTACGATATATGCAACAGTGAAAATAGTATATCCATCCATATATTTGAAAGTTACTTACATAGTTACTTACGCCCGTTACTCCTCATGGAGAAGCATAGGCCACCCACCAACACACTGCATCCAACCCTATTCTGGCCAATCGTTTCCAGCTCTTATTCATCCTCTTCACATCTGATTCCCTTTCCCGACGTAATGTGTTCTTTGGCCTTCCACTTTTCCACTTTTCAGTTGGAAGTTGGTTTGTTCTCTCCCACAGTAGGCTGTTGCTGGTAGTATCCGGCCAACGGATATTGAGTACTTTGAGTAGACAACTATTTATAAATACTTGTATCTTCTTCAAGACGATTGTAGTAGTTCTCCATGTTTCAGCTCGATACTTTGATGTTGGTTGAAAGTTGTTGTTGACAGTGCCATATGTTCTTCAATGCCAATCCTCGCATTTACGTCTGCATCCCATCCTCCTTGTTCATCGATGATTCTGTCTAGGTATGTGAAAGATTCTACATCTTCCAGAGTTTCGCCATCAAGTGTAATTGGATTGGTGTTCTCCATGTTGTATTCGAGGATCATGAGTTTTCCTTTGTGTATGTCGAAACCTTCTGATGCAGAGGCTGATGCTACACTAGTTGTCTATTTGAAAGCTAACTTACAACTATTTACAATTATTTAGCACTACACGGTCTGCTTAGTAATGAATTTAGTGACGTTATACTAACGGTGGGCTGTTGACTAGAAAAATTACTTACATTACATATTGGCCATTAACTTATACTAAGTATGAGAAATGATGTTACTAGCCGTTTGGCCAAGGTGAAATATGTGGAGAGAAGTTTAAATCTAAGACTTTACGGCTGAAATCAAAAGCCTTAACCATTAGACCATAACTTCACCATGTACAATAATAAATACATCTTTGAAAGAGGTAATTTTACAATACCTTGCATGAGAACTAGACACACCAGGCTTTTTAAAATCTGAAAAGGCATAATCCTGTGAAGTAATCACACAGGTATCAAGAACTCTGATGAATCAGATTAGAAATATCATAAATAGCTACAAACCTTTATGTTTTACACAGGCACGCCCTCCATTGATTGCTAAATATCCAGGTAGACATTCACAAATATATCCATCACCACCAAGATTTAAACAAATTCCTCCATTGCATTTCTTTACAATATCATCTTGACCACATGGTGTTGATCGAAGACTTGTTCCGCGTAAATGCAATAGTTTAGGTTTTTTATATAATACATCTGATGAGTCTTGTTGTTTATCTAAGAGAATAAATTGAAAAAGGTATTTTGTTTAAGAGTGAGAACAAAATTTTACAAACTACAAATGGTTTTCAGTCAATCAATCAGTCAGTCAGTAACAACGTAGATCTTTGTACGTACGTACATCAGTTCAAGTTGCCATAGCACATTAACACAGAGATACAATTGTCGATTCGAATCTCATAGTGATAGAGGTAATAAAAGTATAAGCAGTAATCAGAAAGATTAAGGCTTGAAGATGTTATTCAAGGCGTATAATCCAGGGATATGAAGAATTCAGAAGATTAGAATTTTGGGAGAACACAAAAAGTGGATGCACCTGCGTCATCTCAAATGATTTTGAGCCATGTTATTCAAGGTCTCTAACCATCGGTTGCTATTCGTTTCGCGGGTCCTAACCAGGTAGTCTACACCTATCAACATGGCTCAGTCCACGTGTCAGTGACTTCATAGATTTGTGCCATGTTTTATTTTGGCCACCCCTAGCTTTTTTCCAACTTACTCCTACACCAGAAAACATAGCACATCGGGGCAGTCGGTGGTTGGGCATACGTAACACGTATCCCAACCATCTCATACCATGACGTCTCACTACTTCATCAATCGATTCGCCATCCTTACCTAGTACCCGTTTCCTAACAACTGCATTACCTAATCGGTCGTTCCAGGATATACGAGTAAGTAATGCAGTGGTTTTAGTGAATCAAAGAACTATTCAACTTCTAATAAGTATTCATTTATATCTGAAATAGATTAAAAAGTGAAAAATTAAATATAATTATGGTTACTATGTGGGTGCGCTTTAATAATAAACCTCCCAAATGAAATGATCCTATAATAGAGAAATAGAACAGATCACAAAATCAGTAAGTAGTGTTTTTTAAAATGAACAACAATGCAGTTTGATCAGAATTATGACCGAGGAAGATTTCTATCATTTAATGGGATTCATTTCACTTCTATGAAGGATGTCGTGAAAAACGATATCAAGGATGATACTTAACGTCTAAAGTAGCACAATGAAACGATTTTTATGACCCCAATCGGGAAATTATGATGGGTAAATAAGCGTCAATCTTAATATGTGTATCTTTGTGATTGCTAACTGATTAGATATACTGTGAGTCGTCTCAAAGAAACGTGTTATCATCCACTTGTTAGTTTTCATCAATTCTGCCTTCATTATTGGAAACGCGACATTACCATATACTTCTTATATCAAGAGCTTAGATTCTTGATATACCGCGTATAACTTGAGCACTAAAACTCTAGAACATTTTCACGTTGCAAATGAGAAGTTAGAAGACAAGTGAAAGGAATGCTATCCCAAACAGTGTCATTTACAGTACACAACTGTCAGGTATAGTTTTTTTCGTAAAAACGAAATCATCATTATAGTCATCCAATCCGCATACAATGGCTTATTAGCATTTGTCCAATAGGGAAGCTCCACGTTGAGATTCTGAAATATTCCTCCAGAAGATGATTGGATGGAATATCTTCGGCTCTCTCTGAGCTTCCTCGAGTTCACCCATGGATCGTCATCACAATACTTCATTCAGAGCTGCTTCCAGGATGTTATCGGTTAAAAAAAATAAAAATCCAACGTATTTGTGAAATATTAACAGAACTTTCAAGATGTTTGTAACTTTTTCTGGCGTATAATTCCGTAATAAAACATCCTAAAGTACAGTCATGCTCTCGAATAGAAGACGGTTCTGATATCAAGAAATACGATGATTTTATAACTGCCAATGGCATGATTTGACTTGATAATTCCAAATAAATTGAGCATTGGGTATAAAGTTAATATTTTTCTGTTATATCCCAATGAGTAGAGAGATTGTATTTCTGACAACGTTTCGTAACTTCAAGTAAGTCACTTCTTCAGAATAAATCAATAATCGATATTAAATGAACACAAGTTTAAATATATTTATTATTTAGTATGATGATTGTTTTATTTTTTTAAGAGTAAAGGAGGATCAAGTCGACATGAACAAACAGTGAATAGACCAATCTGTAATGTCAGTTGCTATTATTAAGCCTACATAGTTTATTCTATGTCCGTAGATTACTTTTGTGTAACTATAAACATTGATTAATGTTTGATTAAACGGAGTTGGCTCACATGCCTTCTCTACTGCGTATCCTTTTGTTTCGCTTTGCTCTCTCATCTTCGCTTCCTTCGCTGTGGTTCTCTGACTATCTGTTCCAATCAACGAGTGTACAAAATATGCGTATTCAAACATTCATTCTCGTATTTGACTTATTTAATTTCCTTATTCACTAACGCGAGTTAAGTCAATAATTTTACACGAGAATTGACGATGTATATATATATTATCATTAATAATCATTCATACGATCTAACTGGAGTTGGAGCCCAAGCCACTAAATTGGTGAGCCCATCGATAGCATCGTCCTATCTGATTGACGCCAAAATGAAGGGCCCCACTAAAGTTCTATTTCAAACAATCGCCAAATAAAGCATTTCTACATTAATAAATTTATAAATCTAAACAGTATTAACAATAACCACATAGTGTTGAAAATCTACACCTCTACACGTGATGATCATATTTTAGGTTAGTTTATTCTGAAGTGCTTAAATATAGAATTAAGCAATGACATCAATACACTGGGACTAATCACTACTAAACAATAATAATCTCAGAGTGAACATCAACTCTGACATACAGATACATCCAGCTGACGAGTCGCGAATATGACGAAACGCGCGTCCTGCTAGCCACTATCTATCTTTGCTTGATATGCATTTAAGTGTGTAACATTCAATCTGACTTTTAACTGATCCTATTCATACCAAGTGTATACATACATGTAAATATTCACATTTGATAAGAACAGATATCTTGATTATTCTCATTAGCAAAATGTTATTATTGTTATCATCATGATCATCATTAAATAATCCTTAATACTATTATGTAATGTTAACAACGATGATAATATGCAATGATAACATTAAATGTCATGGTATGAAAGGTGTGTGTGTGTGTGTGTGTAGAATTGTTGATATTTGCATTTGAAATCAGATATGTAATATTAGTTACATAATAGATTACATTCTTGAACTATTAACTAAACTAGACCATTTGCATCCTTTTATTTTATTCTATTTATTAATCTCAAATATCAGAAGGGGTTTTGTGGTGATTTCGGAAATTCCACTGATTGAAAACATGAGTTAATTGAAGCTAGACCACCATGAAAAACCTGGAAGCACTGGATAACCATTTCGTCCTAGTATGGGACTCCTCAGCAGTGCGCACCTACGATCGCGCTCCCCACGAGATTCGAACCCGGGACCTATCAGTCTCCCATCAGGCGCCTAACCAACCAGACCACTAAGCCAGCACCCAGCGGTGTTAATATCTTTAAATTAAATAATATATTGAATGAGAATCTATCAATCCGTAGATGTCTTTTATTATCGATTGTGAATAGTTGAAGAATCTATGGGAATTTTGAGGTAATAAATAACTACTTGATCACATTTAGTGACTCTAAATCAGTAAGCAAGCATTCTTATAAATGGATCAGGGCTACTACTATTATTACTACTACCCCCCACATATCACAAGTTCATTGAAGTTGGAAATGATACTGCTCAAGTGGTCCCAATAGTTAAGAGTTCCTACCAAAATCTGATGGTATTGGGTTTGATTCTAAGAATATTCAATAGCGTACACAGCTGATGTGAACGTCACTAGGGAGAGGCAGGTGTCCAGTTTTCTCGGAGTTTTATTAGTTCCTAAGCTATAAACTATAAATTAAACCTATCTTCACCAAGCATCTTCAACTGAAATGTTTAACTATCAGTATGGGGGTTGTGGAGATTATTAAGTTTTTGATTGAGATCATGAACCGACTGATGTTAGACCACCATTGAAAACCTGAACGCACTGGACGGCCGTTTCGTTCTATTGTGGGACTCCTCAGCAGTGAGCATCCACGATCCCGCTCGCTTGATTCGAACCCATGGCCTTCACTCTCTCGCGCGAACGCTTAACCTACTGGAAAAAAGATTTATAAATTTAGAGATGTGGTTTTTTAATTGGATTGTCTAGTTGCAATAATGTAGCCAAGAAGTAAGCTGTGTTGGCGCAACAAATCCAATAAAATCATCTAGCTCAGAGAACTTGACGAGTTCAACCTTCTCATTCAAAGCTACAAATATTCTTCATGATCTAGAGAAATCGAAATGCTTGTATTGTTCCGAAATAATAGTTTAGCGCATTTCGTTTGAATGGTGTGAAGGCTTATGTAATATTTTAAATTTGTGGAAAGTGGTACTGTGGTGTGTGCTACTTATATTGACATAAGTAGTATATGATGCTAGTCGTGAACAGAAGGTCTGGCAGCAGAGAGACAAGAAGACCGGACAGTAAAGAATCGAAACAGAATGCAATTTGTATGAAAATGCAAGAACAATGAAGCCTGAGTCATTTTGAGACAATTGATGGACATTTTGCAAATTAAGCATTTAATTTATGATTGTTAGATTTAATTAACAAGTCCTGTAGTTTTGTGTTGAGCACATTCGATCGTCCGCATCCGTGTTCTGTTCACTACAGTATTTCCACAATTTATGCTTATCATCACTAATTTCAAGCATGAAATTGAGTAAGCAATCATTATGTTACTTACTTTCATTTCAGTAGTGCACGACACATCCTATCAAGTATGCGAAATCCTACTCAAAGCTTCCATGTGGTTCTGCTGGATAGTGAGGTCAACATTGCTACCTAATTTGGGCGGTCAACAGAGATCAGACCAATCCACTACTCCTATTCTGAACTTGCTTTACCCGGATCTCATTCTTTAAAATTTTAAAATCGTGACGTGTTGCCCGATTCGCGTGTTTATAAATATGAGTTCCACAAGTCTCCGCTTGTGTATATGATGTTTGTAGGTGCATGCAAATGGTGTGCGCGTGGGTTAGCACAAGGAATGTAAGCTGAAAAAAGGTCTGCCATATGTCTACTAAAATCAACGATCTAATACAGTAGATCGAAGATATAATAAAATATAGGATAACAAATAATAGGGATAAGTGACCACCAACTCTCCCTGATAAAGTGCCTATGCTTGTGTGTATATCATGAATTGCATTTATGGGACTGTTTGTACCAGTGGTACGCATGTATTAAGTAAGAGACAGTTGTGGTAATTACGTTCAAAAGGAGCGGTGAACATCTAACCTCCCAGGTGGGTGAATATACATAGATGCATGCTAAGGGATGCATGAGTGAAAACTTGTATGTTAGCGGTATTCATGTAACGTATGTTCTCACAGACGGTAAGTATACGTATAAGCATGCCAAGAGATAGATTGGTGAAAATTCATGTCTTACTGGCATCCTTATAGATTATACTTGTCCTTGATGCGACGTCTGCGCGCCGAGAGTTGGGGATTCCAGCGATGTCCTCTCGAAATCACGTCCATGCGGTGGGTTCATGAAACTCAGAAAACGGATTCTAATCCAGATAAGCCAATCGGCTTTACTAAGTGAAGTTTCATCAACCTTAGATCAATGGAACACCGCAGTAACAATGAATTATTATTTTGACCGGAATCGAAAGACTATATGAAAAGGTCCTTACTTCTGGAATCCTGATTATATCACACAAAAAGACAGACCTTTTGGAATTTAAGTATACTTAATCATACATTGATGAATGTCATCTATTATCATCTCGAAGAAACATAGACACATATCTGACAAGATATTTTCACTAACTTTCAGTAAGATGATACGTTATTCTATAAGAAAAGTGTGTGTAGATTAATATAACAGAGATAAACTTACACTGTGAATAGGATTTATGTTGTTTCTTTGATAAACTGTCACTTTGCCACCAGTTATATGACTTTTCATCTAAAAAAATTAGACAAATAAATGTGGAAATGAGTTATTATTTGTTTAGTTGTAAGAGACAATGGTCAAATGTACTAACTTAATGGTACAATTTTAAGCATCATCGATGAACAAAGAGGATCGGATGCGGACGTGAAGGCAAGGATTGACAAAGTAAGAGCCGTATTTCTACAGTTGGAAAACATATGGCACTGCAAGCAATTAATATCGAAGTCAGAATCTTCAATACGAACGTCAAGACAGTTCTACTGTAAGGAGCTGAAGTGTAGAGAACTACCACAACCATCAAAAATGTACAAGTAATTATAAACAATTGTCTACGCAAGATACTCAATATCCGTTGACCGGCTACCATCGGCAACAGCCTTCTGTAGGAGAGAACAAACCAGCTTTCAACTGAGGAGGAGATTAGGAAAAGACATTAGGAGTGGATAAAACATACATTGAGGTAATCATCAAACTGCATCATGAGGTAAGCGCTAACTTGGAATCCTGAAGGGAAATGAAGAAAAGGAATGCCAACGAGCACATTACGTCGTGGATGAACAGCAACTGGAAAGAGCTGAAAGGGATTGCCTAGGACAGGGTTGAATAGAAAGTGGTGGTAGGCGGCCTATATTCCTCCACGAGGAGTAGCAGGAGTAAGTAAGTAAGTAAATAAGCACTATTTTAAAACATTTTTGTGTCTTTATGACTTCTGCGATACCATATCAAAAGTACGAGACAGATAGTAAACCTATAATTGTTAGTTATAGTCATCAACCAAAGTAGTTGATTAGTCACATTATTGTTGAAATGCTCAACACACCGATTCAATCTAACCATAGTTCGACCTGTCTTAAATTGACTACCAATCTATGAACAGGTAACTATGTTCATATGTATAATGTTTCTATGTATCTTCTATTATACTATGTGAGTAATTGTAATTAAGTTTAATTCTTATTACCAAGTACAATTATTTGTTTCAGTTAAAGGTTAGATTATTAAATGCCACGGATTGATCATCTTAACTGTAGACTTGTACTGATTCTGATATGATAGTATGACGGGAAGTGATCAAATAAACTACCTAAATCTTAATATTATGGATGTATCAAATGGATGGATTACCTTTCATGTATTGACAACATTGATATAAAATGACTGGTGTAACCTTTTGTAGGCATTCCAACATATAGCGTTGTAATTTCAAAGAACAAATGAAGTTGTTCCTAACAAATTATTGGTTGAAATCTACCAATCATACACGCTCGATTTCATTTAGCTATTTCCTGTTTTTAATACCATCGCTTTTAATGTAAGTAATGACTGACGAAAAAGGTTCTCAAAGAAAACGAAAAAAACCCATTTACCCATTTACAAACAGGGTGAAATATCAGTGTGGGGTTGTAGAGATTGTTGATTTTGTAATTTAAATCATAAAGCGATCAATGTTAGGCCACCAATGAAAACCTGGAAACACTGGACAATGGTTTCGTCCTAGTGTGGGATCCCCAAGGCAGTGTGCATTCACGAGACTCGAACCCAGGACCTTCAGTTCCGTGGGCGAACACTCAACCTACTGAACCATTAAGTTGGCACCAAACGGTGTTAGTGTCTAACCACAACCAATGCACGAAATTGCGTGACCATCATCCATTGTACTGACGTAGATACCTGTCTCTACCCGAAACGGATTAACTCCATTGATCACCACCTCTCACTAGAACTACGAGAATTCCCTCACAAACCTAGTCATTAGTGAATGAGCACTATTGGGGAGAACAAAAACAGTCATCCAATGCTTCAAGGTATTCAATGATGAGCTAACATCAATCATTTCATGATTTTAATCAGAAACTTCATAATCTCCTCAACTCCTATACTGATAACCATTGAAATGACTTCATATCAATGTATAATTTTTAGTACAAAACTATAAAATGATAATCATAATACTAACTCTCACATTCTCTTTTTGCTAGGGAATAAAAAATGGGAAACTTGAAATTCTCATTATTATATATATATATATATATATATCTATGTACTTAGATTAGAACTTATAATGGTGATTTATATGATAAGTTACTTGAAAGAACGAGATCATAATAAAGTAGTATTACTCTTATTATTATTACTATTACCATTACTATTACTATTATTATTCCTATTTTACATTCATATCCCTATGTTTTGTACAAGTGTATATTGAAGGTAAGCGTATCATTCTTCAATATTCTATGTACATATATGAATAGTTCTGTGTTTAAAACGGGTATCATTACATCATTCCTTTCTTTTTGTTAACTTGGCAACAAACCATACGAATAATAATAATAATAATAATAATAATAAGTAATATCTAATCAATAATCATTATTGTAAGAAAAGGTTACTAGTAATGTAATTATCATCATCATCTTTTTTCCCTGTAATATTTTCTTTCTCTAAGTTTTTCTCTCTTTTTCTTTCTTTTTTTTGTTTTTGTTTTGGCATTCTGTATATTTCAGATGATGGAAAAGAGTAGAAAAAAATGTAATTGAATTAATAGACAAAATGTTTAGGTTATTCTTTATCTTCTTTTTCTTTTTTCTCTTTTTCTTCTTTTTCTTTTTTCTCTTCTTCTTATTATTATTATTATTACTACCGTTTTCTATGTGGCTTTTATCTATTCTTTGCTTGCCATATTACAAACACTCTATAATAGACTTGGCAAGAAATGAGTATCATATTCATATATACATACATATATTATATTTATAAAACTATTTCATAAATTATAGTTTTCATTTTTGTGATAATCTAATGAGTAAGAAAATTGTATTGTTGATGATATTTCGTCACTTAAACCAAGTTACTTCTTCAGACACGTTCAGATTTATTTTGATTGTAATTAAGTTACAGCTCTGAATGCCTTGGTACGGCCGAGAGTGGGGAGAATCCGCTCCCTCTCTCGAAATGCTCTCACATGGCCACGCGTATATAGCCTCTGACAGAGAAGTCCTACTCACTGCCTTCTCGTAGCGGGGTTGTTGTTTATGAAAATGAGAAGACGAAAAGCAAATGTCCGGAGATTTAACCGGATTCCAAACCAATGGTGCACATAGGCTAGAGTATCCTGCGGGAACAAACGGCGTATGAACCAATAGTTGGTCACCGGCTTCCATGGGATTGCATCTCCTTCCGATGCTCCACTGTCTTGTGGATCAGACCTTTACGTCGAAGGCTCCAGGTGTGGCCCCCTAAGAAAACCACCTGCTTCGGTCTGGGCACCCAGACAGTATCACGGCCATCACACCTATCAAATGAGATCTATTTGGTGCATATGTATTTGATGCCTCCTTGTACCGATATCCATGTGTTAAAATAAATTAAAAAAAAACAATGCAGTGAACAAGAACACGAGCGGGAACAATCGGATCGTTATATCCTAGAAAAGATTAAATTACGAGTAACCTCTGAGAACTAATAATGGACTAATATTATCTATGTATTCTTATGGTATAACTATTCAATAATTAGATTGTGTATATTTATATTCCTCTTATTAAAAGCTTGATTTTTGACATATAGATTATTCTTGTACAATTTACTATTCTTAAGTTATGTTCAGTTTGTTGATTACAGTCTCCCACGTTCACAGTCACTTTATGGCTTTATTGTGTATGAAAGTTATTTCCTATTTTATGGTGCGTTGAGGTCTGTTTGGTTGATACATGAACCCAGTATGTCTGAAATAAATGATTCGCATAGTGGAAGCTGTTATTAGCATTCTGGACTCAACTGGACTTGCTAGGCGAGCAAGGGACCAATAGAATGATAGGCTGATGAAACCGGACGAACATCATTGATTTAGTACAGTACAAGAGCGAATAAGTCGTATTTTGATTGGCGACTAAATTATGTAATAACTATCGGGTCATAAATTCACAACACAAATGTACTTGAATGTACAGAATATCTCTCTAGAATCTGAGAACTATAAAGTGAATAGTTAATTTGTAATATATCAATTAAGTGTCTCAAACTTTACTATTCTCCTTTGAAAATCTCAGTCAATTGTCTCAGATTTCACTGTTCATGCATTTTAATAATCATTACCTTCCTTTTCCATCTTCTACTGAAATACATTCTATTCATGACTATCGTTATATACTGATTATGTGGATATAAGTAGCTCACATCAAAAGTATATCAAAAATATTCTATAGTGTTTCTTTTGTACTAATTCAACTTGTGTTTATTTAATGTTCGATTATTTATTTGTTTATTCTGAAGAAGCGGGTTATATGAAGTTACGAAACATCATCAAAAATACAATGTTTCTACTCATTAAGATATAACAAAATCATCTATTGATTATTAACTTTGTCACCCAATACTCAAGTCAAACTTTGACTTTGATACCGATTGTGTTTTTTTGTGTTAAACATAAATTAATTGGAATATGGAAGAAAGTTTCTTCTGCCTATTCATTTGATTATGAATGAACTGAATGATGAAATTTATATGAATATCATATTTGAACAATCAGTTGAATAGAACTCGTCACTAGACATCAATTTCCTTGATTATGAAAAAGCATTTGACAGTATGGATAGGAGAACATTATGGGAACTTTCTCGACACTAAGGAGTGCCTGAGAAAATAGTCAACATCATCTGGAATTCATATTGATGTACTACACTGAAAAGTGGCGCATGGAGGAAAACTGACAGACTCGTTCCAAGTGAGGACCGGTTTCAGACAAGGATGCTTAATCTCACTATTTCTCTTTCTTCCAGTGACTGATTGGATTATGAAGACCTCCATATGTGGGGCGAAGCACAAAATCCAGTTGATAGTTTGGATGCGGCTAGACGATGATCTAGCTCTTTTATCTCATATACATTAAAAAATGCAGATGAAGACAACCAGTGTAGCACCAGACTCTATAGCAATAGACTTCGACCTACACAAGAGAAAAACCGAAATCCCGAAATACAACACAGCCGGCACCAACCAAATTACACTTAGTGGTGGAACTCTAAGAGAGGTGAGGAGTATTACGTACCTAGACAGCACCACTGATAACCAAGGAGGAGTTGATGTAGATGAGAAGGTACAGATTTTTAGAGAAAGGAAAGAATTCCTATCATTCAAGAACATGTGGAACTCAAAACAACTGTCAGCCAGCAACAAAGTCACAATTTTCAATACAAACATCAAAACAGATCTAACGTATGGAGTTCAAATTCGAAGAACTACTATAACGGTCATCACTAAGGTACAGGTATTTATAAACAATTATCTACACATGATATTGAATGTCCCTTGGCCGGATTCTATCCTCAACAGCCTAATGTGGAAGAGAACAAACCAACTTCCAACTGAGGCCGAAATCAGGAAGAGACACTGGAAGTGTATAGGACATATATTGAGGAAATCACCAAACTGCATCACGAGGTAAGCGCTAACTTGGAATTCTGAAGGGAAACAGAATAGAGGAAGGCCACACTGCGTCGAGAATTGAAAGTAGACATAGAAAGGATAGATAGCAACTGGAAAGAACTAGAAAGGATTGAATTAGAGAATCTTGGTGGACGGCCTATTCTCTTCCACCAGGGATGACAGGCTTAAGTAAGTAATACTTGGCACGCGAACGCTTAAACTTTAGACCATTGAGTCGGTATCCGATGATGTTAATGTCTAATTTCAACTAATCCACAAAAAGGAGTGACACATCCACTATTGTCTTCAGTGAGTTACTATCTTACAGCAGACCTGGTTGAACTCCACTGGTCACTGCTTCTCATTTGAATTCCAGGAAATACCTCTTGAAACCAGTCACTAGTGAGCATATGTTGATTCATATTAGAAGGGGCTGACTCATGATCTCAACTATTGTAATTCTGAAACAAGCAATTTAACGCTAGTGTAGAAAGACTTCACGTTTATTTATATTCCTCTATACTGAATAGCTGCTTTTTTAACAATACAGCATTCTAGACATATCAACAGTGTGCATACAGTTTCCAAGATTCAATCCATATTGATTTTAATATAAGAATTTGAAAAAAAGTGGTTACTTAATACACTTGGTGTTGTTTTACTTGTATCTTCCCATTTTTATTTAACACTACAATTGATCAGTGTCATGTTGACATATTTGCATCCTGTGCAGATTGCTTCAATACAGCCTTAAGTAACAGGCTTTTTAAACAAAGATGAATAAAGGCTAACAGTGGAATCCAGGATGAAACGCGCGTCGTGGAATTCACTGCTAAACACTATCCATCTTTGCCTTAAAAGTGATTACTAAATGGTGTTATAATTTGTCTCAGGTTAAATATAATGTGTGATGACAATCATTATTCTGTTAGTGTTCAATCAAAGTACAATCTTTAGCAGTTTTCAAATATTTTTACGTTCATTCAATGGATGAATGACACATATAAGAGTTTGATTTTCACTGAAGATTCGATTGTATCCATCGAAAGTCATCTATGTATATCTTCTATGAACATGACACTGTGGTGTGTTTAAACTTGGTTGATGAAAAACTTAGAAAAACTGAAAGTCAAAGCTTGATGAAATCAATTCCATCGTAAAAACTATACTCTTATAATGCGCAATCAGTTAGTTAATGTTAGTTTTGGGATGTATTAAAGATTAGAAAGTGAATTCGCTACACATTCACGGATACATACACTATCTCAATATCATTATTAGTAGCTATTTTAATCATACAGGTATCCAAAATAAGAAATATCGGAGTGAATAGTTGCTCATCAATCGACTTAACAGTTACAAGTTCATCATTAATGTATGACAATGATCTGAAAATAAGTCAAATACAAGTGAATCAAACAATGTTATATGTTAAAATGGTGAATTAGTTGTAACTTAAATACTTCCAAAATATATCAGATACAAAATGTACATATGTACACATGATTTGTGTATGTGCTGTGATACTGCTAAGGTAACCAAACTGAACCACGTGGTTTTCTTAGGGGTCCACACCACGAGCCTTCAACCTGAAGGTCTAATCCATAAGGCAGAGGAGCGACGTAGGGAGATGCAGTCCCATGATAAACGGTCACCAACATTAGGTCCATACGTCATTTGTTCCTTCAGGATCCTGGAGTTCATGTGCACCATTATTTTAGAATCAGGGTTTTCCCAGTAACTTCCCTAGGTGGACACTCGGTGTCCGCCAACGCGGTTAAAGCACCGGACATTCTTTTTCCGTCCTCTCAATTTCGTAAACAACAGCGCCTCCACGAAAAGGCAGTGAATAGGACTTCCTTGGTAGTGACTGTATACGCGTTGCCATGTGGGAATATTCCGAAAGAGTGAGCTAACACTCCCCACCGTCAACTTAACTATTCCATTTGGGTGCCAGAATCAAAGTGTTATAACCAACTAAACAATTTATATGTATATAATTCAAAATTCAAATAACTCATCATATACACATATATACATATTTTTAAACTAACCATCAACTTCAGAATGATCAATTTGTGGTTTGTTCATTTCTATTGGATTTTCATAAGGTTCATTTTCTTTATTACCATAGTAACTATTTTTGTAATATTGAACAGATTTTGTAAAATGTACATTCGAATTAGCTGCTTAACCGAAAAAAAAATAACAAAGAATAACGAAAAACAAAATTGGGAGTATAATATGAGAAGTGATTTTATTAATTGAACTAAATGAGGTTAAGTTTAGATGAATGAGATAAAAATTCCCAGTTACAATAGAATTCCAACTGTCGTGTTTACTACTGATGTCAACAGATGTAAGTAGTATGCATCATCACTTAGAAACTGAAATGCCTGATGGCAGAAGGTGAAGAAAATCAGAGAGAAGAGAACGAGAACAGAGAGTGATTGATGTGGGAAAGAAGGAATAATGAATCCTGAGACAAATGGTTAACATTTTGTAAATGAAGTATTTACGGTGAGACTCTAATTTATGAACGAGTCAATTAGAGGCGTACTAGAGATTTCAAGGTTACGGCGCCAACTTCAGTGCTTAACGCTAACGTACGATCGGTTCACGGGGAATTTCGTACAAAATGTGATAATTGAGCGGCTATAACAAATAAAACGGTGGGACTATAATTTGTCAACCAATCAATCCAGTATAAGATAATAGATCTCGGATTTTAATGCGAAAGCCTTTCATCCATTTGATTAAATAGATTTCAGGCATTATAGTTGATGTCAGTTCCTGATGAAGTCCCATCACAACGGTTTGTATATTTCTCTTCACTTCTATCTTCTAGAGATACCAGTAGGATATACAATATAGTTCATACATCAAATATTATAGAAGCAAGAATGATTGTTAACAGTTGTGGATATTCATCCAGGAATAGAAGCTAATTATCATTGTTGAATAACGTTTTCTACATAAGTTTTGGATATTTACAAATTAAATACTTATGAAACAAGAATTTTGTTACGATTTTGTATATTTTGTACTGTAAACTCTTTTGGAGAGACTATAATTTATGGATGAGCCAAGAAGAAGCATTTGAGGGAATTCAAGATCATAGCGATAATTTCAGTATTTGATGGGTACGTACGATCGGTTCACAGAGGATAACTGAGGGACCACAACAAATAGGACTACTAAGAAGTTCCTTTATTTGTGATTGTTGTAATCACATGACTTGTGCCGATTACGTGGTGATGTTATCTTTCGATGTAATATGTGCCAGCTAATGAAGTCTGCTAGAATAGGTTGTTTTTCGCTCGATTCAGATTGAGACTAAGGCAATTTGAGAACTGGATAATAAAAGCACCTATAACATTAGCTGCAGCCAGGTAATACAATATATACGGATGATTAGGGAGCGTACAGATGCAGATTATGTGCATCACATCGGTGTCTGCAAGCGGCATTTTGTGGACCCGACAACCGGTGTACACAAAAACAATATTTAGGCTATGTGATCGGGGCTGAAAGAGTTTTTGCGACCTTATCATGGCTCAAGAGGCTTACTATTACAGAACCATGTGGATGATTTTCTCCACCGTATGCAATCCGATTTTAGAACCTCCGAAGGTAATCGAAGTGAGCGGTACTGGGTTTGAGTCCCGGAGTGAACATCAACTCTGGGATGCAGATACATCCAACTGACGAGTCCGAAATAGGACGAAATGTATGTCCTGGATTCCACTGCTAGTCAATATCCATCTTTACTTATAATTGCGTACATTGTTTCAAGATTATAAAAGACTATTCGATGAAATTTATCAGTCAAGATATCATTCATATGATAAGCTTATAAAATAACAAATATAAGAGTAGCCTTGCTGAAAACTATGAGATTTCAAACATTCAGTTCAGGCTAAATCTTTACTATTTTTCAACATAATTATTTACTTCAATTTGAAATGGATTAGATTATCCCCTTGTTGATATTCCAACCGCATATTGATCATTTCTAGTTGGCTTATATGCATCCTATGAGGATTGTGGCACAAGTTAGTATAGAACAGATGGAATATGTTTAATCCAAGATGCTGCTTCGTCTTATTTAGGATTCATCAGTTGAACATAGATACATTAGTAATCAAATGTATAATGCGATGATGTTTGAAACAAATGGTATTGGCTTCGAGTCCCCGAGTGTAATGAAAAATCTAAGATGTAGTTAACTCGAGCTGAGGAGTCTTAAATGGAACAACAGAAGCATCCTAGATTCCAATCCTAGCCAGATTTCATCTATTCTCTAAATATCTACCCTAAGTTTAAGTACAATATAAGAATCTAGATGTTTTAAACACTACTTAAATATGAATTATGTAAATATCAAAAAAATATTTACTCACGTTCTTTCATTTGCATGATACATTTTTTATGATCCGATGTACTTTGATAACCTAATTCACATTGACATTCATAATCACCATTTGACAAAGCAATACAATAACCATTTGGACAAATACTTGGTCCTAATTCTTCACATTTACCTATAAGTGAATATGCAAAAAAAAACAAATGGATATACACTTAATAACATGAAATGTACTAGATTCAGTTATCTGTGTGAACATTAACACTGGGATGTAAGTACATTTGCCCTTTAAGTCTTATGTTCCACTGTCAATTATAATTCAACTGTTCAAAAACGGATCAAAACAACTAGTGTATATATGTAAGGACGACCAATGAGTGAACTCGAAGAGGCTCTAAGAGTTTCATAAAGAGCCGATGATATTCCATCCAATCATCTTTTAAAAGGATATTCCAGAATTTCTACGTGTAGCTTCCCTATTGGATAAGTGCTAATAACCCCTCGTATGCGGATTGGATGACAATAATGATGATTTCGTTTTTACTAAAAAAACTAAAAATACCTGAACGTTTTGTACCACATTTGATGGTGTTTAAAATAGTAATGCTTTCACTTATCTTATGCCTTTTGATTGGCGATTTGGAGGGTTCTAGCGTTCGAGTTCCAGTTACTTTATGTAAATTATGTACACAGGATCACAAATGACTTTGTGACCCTGTTTTAAAATGATCAAGTATAAATAGCGATTTACAACGATGATTATGATGATAGTCATGATGATAAATGAGACTGTCAATCAATATAAACAATCTAGATAGAAGATGGGATAGGCCTTACTCAGAAGCATTTACTGTGAAATCGGATCATCCGAATCCATTACTACGATATATAAATGTATATCAAACTTAGCTAAATTCATGGCGATAACTGCTAAAGCTTTCAGTCCTTATGAGTAGTTCTTTCATTACTTTGAGACTTTGATGTGAATATGTTTGAATTATTACATCAAACATACGTTCGACTATATTTGGATTGTATAATACAAGTACCAAATATCTTTTGAAATAAGTAGATATGTTAGAAAGTGTTTAACCGCTTACTTATTGAAACCAAGACTGAAATGTCCTAACCTTTTCCCACTAACTTATCGTGTGTTACGAGATGATCTGATACTCACCAAGTGTATACAAAAAGATGATTTTGTTATTATCAGAATGGGATTAGTGGTGATTGTGGTAAATTTAACAATGGAATTCATAAATCAATCAAAACTAGACTACCATTAAAAACCTGTAATCACTGGACGGCCATTTTGTCCTTGTGTAGGACTTCACAGCGGTACGCATCCACGATCCTGTACGCGAGATTCAAACCCAAAACCTTCGGTCAAGCTCACAACCGCTTAATCTCTAAACTACTAAGCCGGTATCCAACGGTGTCCAGTGCTTTTATGTTTTCAATGGTAGTCTACCTTAGATGGGCTCATGAATTCAATTACTAAGATTTTGTTATTCGTGTTTCATCTGAAAGGATGTTCTTCAAAAAATCATAAATCATTCGTAAATCTTCTTTCCTAAACGTTTTGTTCCCTAAAGCATTTCAACTGAAACATTTGACATCAGAATACATCTGTATAGTGCTTTAACTTGAGATAACTAACCTAGTTTAGTTGGGTTTCCTATCTTGACTAATAAAGATAGAAGTCTGAATCATTTAACAAGAGACATGTCTATTGATAATCAGTATTTATAACTAAAAATCAAACAAATATATCGTATTCTTTAAGTTTATTATTTTATTTATTTTAACACATAATCATTGATACATAGGGGTACTAAACAGATATTCGCCACACAGCAACAATGAAGCCAGTAGCAAATATTTTTGATTTGTGTGAGGGCTATGATACTGACCAAGTGCCATAACCGAAGCAGCTGGTTTTCTTAGAAGATCACAACCCGAGCGTAAGTCTAATCTACAAGACAGTGAAGCAACGTAAGGAGACGCAGTCTCATAATAGTCGGTGACCAACAATTGGTACACACGCCATTTTTTCCTTTAATATCCTGAAGCTCACGTGAACCTTTGGTTTAAAAATAGGGATTTCCAACTACCCTATCTAGATTCTCCATATCCACTAACCCCGTTAAACCATCGGACATTCACTTTTCGTCCTCTCAATTTCGTAAACGACAGTAATGTCAGGAGAATTCAGTGAGTACGACTTTCCTGAAAGTGGCTGTATACAGGCGGCCATGTGAGAGCATTCGGAGACGGAGAGCTAATTCTGTTTACCCTCGGCAAGACAATTGAGAATTGTATTCTTTATATACTAAATAGTTTCCACAGGATTTCAGTTTCTAATAAGGAGTGTATGTCAGTAGTATATATTGAGTATAACTTGAATGATCTAAACGTTCACTACTCATTCCAGTAACAATTGTTGACATTGTATAGAGGGACAATAATCATTTTCAATTAAACTATTTACATATAATTATAAATTAATTAGATCTTATAAATCAACTTACTCATACATCTTCTACGATCATAGGATAAAGTGAAACCGGGATTACATTCACAAAAGAAATCACGACCAGCTGGTATACAATGTCCATTAGTACATAAATATCCTCGATGAACAGAACAAATATCAACTTTATCTATTAAGAAACATTAAAAATCATTGAACAAAGATTTAAATTCAGAAAGGGCTTTGTGAAGATTGTAGTAATTTCAATAGTTGAGGTCATGAGTCAATTGAAGCCAGAACACTATACAAAACCGGAAAGCACTGGACGGTGGTTTCGTCCTATTATGGGACTCCTCAGTAGTGCGCATCCACCTGCCCGCACAGGACCTATCAGTCTTACGCGCGGGCGCCTAACCATCAGACCACTGAGCTGATAGGCATCTAATGGTGTTAATATCTAACTTCAACTTATCCACAAAACTGAGCGATACATCCACTATTGTCTTCAGTAAGTTACTATTATATCATAATGGACCTGGTTAAACTCCACTGGTCACTGTTTCTTATTAGAACTGTATAAAATACCTCTTGAAAACCGTCACTAGTGAGTATATGTTGATTCATATAAGACAGAAGGGGTTTTTACTGAATATTATCATAATTTCAATAGTTAAGATCATGAGTTAATTGAAACTAGAACCACCAGTTTAATTCACTTGATATTGTTTTACTTGAATCTTCCCGTTGATGTTTTAGGACTGAAATTGATCAGTCTCTTATTGGCATATGTGCATACTGTGCGTATGCCTCGATATTGCCTTAATTTACAAGCATTATAAGCAAAGATGGATAGTGGCTAGCAGTGGAATCCAGTTTGACGCGCGTTCCGTCCTGTTTGGGACTCGTCAGCTGGATGTACCTGGATCTCAGAGTTGATGTTCACTCTGGGACTCGAACTCAGTAACGTTCGCCTCAAACGCCATCGCGTTATCCACTTAGCTATTGAGTCCTGATAGCCACTTGCTTGTGCAATGGGTTGAAGTTTAATTCACTTGATATTGTTTTACTTGAATCTTCCCATTGATGTTTTAGGAATGAAATTGATCAGTCTATCAGGACTCAGTAGCTAAGTGGATAACGCGATGGCGTTTAAAGCGAACGGTACTGAGTTCGAGTCCCAGAGTGAACATCAACTCCGACATGCAGGTACGTCCAGCTGACGAGTCCCAAACAGGACGAAGCGCGCATCCTGGATTCCACTGCTAGCCACTATCCATCTTTGCTTAGAACCACCAGTGTTTCTAAGTTTTCCATGTTGGTTATTACATAATCTTAGTTGAAATAATCATTCCTTAAATCTATTCATTATTGATTAATTTTCCTTTATTTACACAAATCTAGAACAGATGTTCAACATGAATATGATTCTTTATCCAACAGACTATCATTAAACTTAACTAAATAATCATGATTATTATTATCATTGTCATTTTTCTTTTTCTCTTTTTTTTCTTTTCTTTTCTTTTTCTTTACTTTAATGATAACTAGTTTATTATTTCATTGGAAATAAGAGAAAATATGTGTGAAATAGATTTCAATGTTTCACCTACACATGGTAACTACATCATCAATAAGATAGCAACAACAACAACAACAACAACAACGAGAACAACAGCAACAGGAAAATTATTTTTGTTACTAAGACGAAGAAAAAAATTTATTTGTAGTTGATTAGTTTTTTCTTTTTTCTTGGACTGAAACTGTTTTGTTTTTGTTTAACATCTGATAAGGTAATCAGTGTCCAAAAATTGTAATAATTAACAATTACTGTCTAATAGATATACCACTTCATCATTATTCTACAACAACAATGTTGTATAGAATTCATTGGTATTAGTTGGTTTTAAATCTTATTGACATATAAATGGTGTATTCTGTGCGGATTGCTTCGAGTTACAGAGTTGGATGATGAACAATACTGGGCTGAAGATCTGAAGTGAACATGAACTCTATGATACAGGTATATCTAGCTGACGAGTCTCAAATGAGACGAAACATGTATCTTGAATATCATTGTTAGCTACCGGCTATCTCAATGTGTTAAACATTGTCTTACTATTGAATTGACTTTTGAATCATAAGTATACACTTTTTAAGGTTGATGAATAGAAAAAGCCATTAATAAAGACTAATTAGATAACTTACATTGACATGTTTTACGATCTTCTGACGGTTCAAAACCTTCATTACATATACATTCATATGTATTCCCACGTGGTATACATTGACCATTTTTACATACAGATGATTTATATAATTGACATATATCAAAATGAAATTCTTTATCTTCTATGCCTGAATATATAAAAATAAAGAGAAGGAATTCAGAAGACAATAGTGTCTATGATCTAGGATACTAACACTGGACACGTTATTGAATATCATGATTCTTTAGCGTGATGAAATAAGTGACACAAGTAGTAGTATTAAATCTAGCGTTGAACTATAGATATACAATGGTGGCTGATGAGCCTCAGCTAAGAAGTACTCATCTCAGACCTTACTAACCAACAACTATCCAAAAATATGGACAATTTATTATTGAAGATCAAGTTGAATTATCTGCTCAAATTGGTTACATACCATTAAGAGCTGACTAAATATGTTATCTTGAAAAAAACTACCGGATTAGGAATGATAACTCAACCTTATTCAGATCACGAACCGATCAAGGTTAGGGGAATCATTAAAAAACCTAGAAACACTAGACAGCCGTTCTGTCTTAGTATAAGACTACTCAGCATTATACATCTATAATCACACAATCTTCAGTATATCGAATTGACTAGGGTTAAACACATGCACCACTGGGTTTTGGCATAGTAGTTTAGCGGTTAAGAGTTTGTGAACAAAGTTGAAGGTTACAGATTCAAGATCTGGTTGTATATCCGTAGATATGCATCACTGAAGAGTTCGATATGCGTATAAAACGGGTGTCTAGTACTTCTATGTTGCCATTGGCTGTTGAAATTGACTCAGTTCGTGATCTCAAAAAGTAAATAACATTATTCACGATTCCATACTTATAACTCCACTCGTTTGTGCTTTTCACAGTATTAGAATAAGGAAAATTACAGTAATTTCAAACATAAGGTTGAGTTATACCACTAAAATTTTATGCAACTTAATAAACTTATGTAATTTTGAGTAACCTTACGAAAACCATGCGACTATTAGTCACAACTGGCGACTTATCAAGCACAGATCCTTAGAACGTGGAATAATTTCAATTTCAAAACCTTTATATTTCACAAAGATGACATCTTATCACTTTGTTAGTGTTAGTTTAGATTCTCAGTTTCAGTCGATCTGTACTACAGTTCGCATGTTATTCATCTTGAATGATTATGAAATCGATTAAACCCTATACATACAAAAACTAAATACATAATAATCCTTATAACTTTAATTGATTTTGGTGTGAATTTACCCTTAAATGCTTTAGTACGGCCGATATCTAGAAAGTCCGCTCTTCCTCTTGAAATGCTCTAATATGAACACGTTTATACAACCACTATCAGGGAAGTCTTACTCACAGAATTCTCGTGTCGGCACCGTTGTTCACGAAACTGAGAGGACAAAATCCAGATGTTCAGTGCTTTAACCGGGTTGGTGGATATGAAGGATCCACCTTGTGGAGTTACTTGTAAAACCCTGATTAGAAAATAATGTTGAGCATCAGCTCCAAGATCCTGGAGGGACAAATGGTGTATGAACCAATCGTTGTCGCCGACTACCATGGGACTGCGTCTCCTAACTTTGCTCTACTGCTCTGTGGATTAGACCTACAGATCGAAGGCTCCAAGTGTGGCGTCCTAAGAAAAGTACGTGATTCGGTTTGGGCACCCGGATAGTATCACAGCTCACACACAAATCAAATGACTTGTGTGACGTATATGTATTCGGTGCCTCTTTTTACCAATATTTATGTATTTAAATTCATCATAAACACATACACATTCTATTCCTTATTTATCTGTTTATAGACTTGGTCAATCAGTTGGTTGTATAATAGTCAACTCAGTGACTAATTGAATTCAATTGATGCTGTTCCACATGTATCTTCTCATTGTTATTTAGGACTGCAATTGATCAATCCCGTGTTGGTATATGTGCATCATGTGCAAATTGCCTCGATATAGCCTTAAGTCACAATCTTTTTTAAGCAAAGATGGATAGTGGTTAGAAGTGGAATCAACATCAACTCTACGATGCAGGTACATCCAGCTGATGAGTCCCGAATAGGACGAAACGCACGTCCTGGATTCCACTACTAGCCACTATCTATCTTTGCTTAAAAATTGACTAATTCAATTTAAACAATTGAATCTAGATATTCGTTTTAATAATATTATAAATCTTTAGTGAAAAAGAAGTGAATTATTACAATTTGTAGATATGCTTTCTAGTTTATGAAATATCTTGCTCATTAATGAACTTTGGCTGTGATAAGTCAACACAATTGAACTCTAGATTCAGTTTCCTAAGCTCATTTAGTAAATCCCAGGCTAAATCTATACAGCAACATGAATATGAGTATAAAAGCAAGAAATCTGGAAGAAACGCTACACTCCAAAGATTCGTTTATGTATAAAAGATGTAGAGTATTTATAGCATTTTAGATAGGTAATGGACTTTCGGAAAATTCTGGAATGCTACTAAACATAATGTCAGTATAACTAATCATCCAATCAGAAACGTGACATGTGACTCTTTGCTTTCCAGAAGTTTCTTGCATAACTTGAATGTTAATTAGCTAAGATGGTTCCCAGTGTTTTCAGAGTCTTCTTTTTGGCATGTCACGTTTCTGATTGGATGATTAGTTATACTGACATTATGTTTAGTAGCATTCCAGAATTTTCCGAAAGTCCATGACTTATCTAAAATGCTATAAATATTCTAGATCTTTTATACATAAACGAACTTTTGGAGTGTAGCGTTTCTTCCATATTTCTCGCCTTTTTTCTCATGTTCATGTTGATGTATAGATTTAGCTTTTGAGTGGGGTATTTGAAGAGCTTAGGAACTGAATTTAGCTTTCCTGTCTTGTATCTATTAACTTGTATATATTAGGAAAATAATGCATAGAAAGTTTTTTATAACAATCATTATCTACCACTATTCTAACCAGTACGCATCCATGATCTGACCTCGCGAGATTCGAACCAAGGAACTAACGGTCTTACAAGTGAACGCTTAACTGTTAGATCACTGAGCATTTACCAGTAGTTTACCGATAGTATCTCTTTTTGTTATTGTCAGATTTACATTTGATAGGTGATTTCGACTGTTATCCTCTTTCCAATCCAAAAATTTACTTTTTTTGTTATAAACATTCAGAAATATTTCATGAATACATCAAGAGTATTTACATGTTCTTGATACTTATTAACAAGATCTTTAGTAGGTCAGTTTGGCCAGATTTTAGATAGATCAGTATATATATATAAAGACACTCGTAATCTACTAGTATTTGACCACAGATGCCTCAGAAATATTGCTGGCGTCGGCTGGGATCACCTAGTAAGTAATAGTGAGGTTAGATGCAGGATATCAGATAATGATGGTTAATCAGTTGATGAGGTCGTGAATCTTCATCGACTGAGATGGTTGGAACACGTGTTACGTATGCCTGAACACCGATTACCACGACGTGCAATGCTAACCGGTGCTGGAGATGGTTGGAAGAAAGTTAGGGGTGGCCAAACTGGCCAAAACGTGGCATCAGTGCTTGAAGTCACTAACTTCTAGTCTGAGCCATGTTGGTAGATGCAGGCTACTTGGCTGGGGTCCTCGTGACTATCGTAACCAATGGTTGGAGACTCTGGGTAACATCACTCAGATCGACCACATTGGCGTCGGTGTATACACTCTCTATCTTCCCTCAAACCATGAGGTTGAAATCGCTCCATATCTTTCTTTCTACCAACTAAATATTTCTTCCTGTACTATATCCTTATATGCAATCTTTCTTTTATATATTATTACCACTGAATCAACTATTTCTATGAATTCGGTGTTCATCTTGTTGTGCTAATGCGGTATGGCAACTTCGACCGACGCACATATATGTCTGGTCCTACGTTGTAGCTGACTGACTGATATTTCCAAATAGATAGAAGTAATTATATTTTATAAATTAGACATAACAACAAATTATATTGATGAGACTATAATTTATGGACGAATCAATCAGGTATAAGATAGCAGATTCTTGATTTTGGCGCGAAATTCACTCATCCAATTTGATTAAATAAAGTTCGGGCATTATAGCTGATATCAGTTCATGATGAAAACTTCAACCATCAAGTGTAAATCATCATTCTAATTCCTCATACACTGGTTTATAACCTTCATTTGGTTTTCGTTATTAGGTGAACTGTTAGATCCCGAGAAACGTAATGAATGGTAACTTTTGGGATCTATTGATAGACCATTATTAAACGTATATTTCTATTGTATAATTATTAAATAACTAAACCATGCACATTCATATTTCTTTTATTATAAGCTTTATTTTGACCTATGAACCATTATTATACGATTTATCATTCTTGAGCTATACCCAGTGTATTGATTACTACCTCCCTCATTCACAGCCACATCTGGCTAATTCTTGTACAGATGTTATTGCATATTTTATTGGTGAGTCGTCGTCTGTTTGATTGGTAATATAAACTCAGTATGTTTGAAATATGATGATTCATATCGCAGAGGCTCGGATTGGTGTTCTGGACTTAACTGGTTGGGCTAGGCGGAGATCAGGACCAATCAAGACTCTAGACTGCTTGCATATGTTTTACGCATTATTGATCCGATCGATAAATCATTGCTCTCTAATCGGTAGTCACAAGTTATAACATGAACACTCTTAAGATCAGTTTAGCGTCGCTCATAGGTAGTCCATAAATTATAATCTCACTGATTGTTTATTTCAATCATTCATACACTATTCATGTTGTAATTATGGAAGAAGAAAACCTTTTATGGTTAATTATTCAATTCTAATTATTCTTAATATCTTTTCATTTCTATTATTATAATTATATATTCTTTCCTATGGGATATTTGAAATGTCAAGTATCCAATGTAATTAGTTAACCCCTTAGAATATACGTTTAATTCTGTGAATGGAATCCGTATCAGCTGACTATTGGAATAGGATCTATCCTATTGAACTATTAAGATGAATATCATTTAATGATGATATTAAACCCATTATAAAACTAATGATATAAACAAACAGTAATGATATTCATAGTGATAATAATGTTATGTATAGTATAATAGAAAGG